AATGTTTCTGAGTCAGTGGAGTGGCTGGAGCTGGAGTGTTACAGTGACACACATTCCTGTGTTAGTGTGGAAATCGTTCTTCTTGAATGAGATTTACATAACTGCTGAGTGAATCCACACGTTCCTGGTGAGGGAGGGATGTTTTGTGCAGTGAACTCCTTCCAGAGTGTGGTGCTCGTGTCCAGAGCCTCCATTTAGTGGAGTGGGGTGCTGTGGGAACTCAGCACAGCAGCCCTGATGTGCAGAGTCACCGAGACCACCCTTGGGGGGCTCGGAGGTCCTGGAATGTTGCCAGAAGTGTTTGGTGGCTGGACTTTGATCCTGCACAGGAGACGACACCTGTATGAGGATGGGAGGATCTCACTGTGATAAATGGTGAAGGGATAGGTTAATTATAGTGTGAAACACAGGTTTTAGACTCTTGGTACAGGGGGGTTCTAGAGAAACAAGATGGAGGAATTGGGGCGTGTCCTGTCCTTCTTCTTCTTCTTCTTGGCCTCCATCTTCTGTGGTGGTGGTGGCACTTTGGGATTGGCTCTTACTAAAAGTGCACTTGTCAATAAGGGTGAAAGGCATTGGGGAAAATAGGTAAATATCTTATACGTAGTTTTGGGTATAAAGATAAGTGACCGCCGTGAGGGCTCTCAGTGTGTCCATGGCTGACGTGCTGTGCTCTGTCAGGCCGAGAGAAAATCTTGTAGATAAAAACTGATAAACACTGAAGACCGAGAAAAAACCTGAAGACTCTTTTCGTCCTTTGGAGCGCGGGCTGTCCCAAGGCCATCCCGAGCCTTTCCAGGCCATCAAAAACAGCCGGGAACGGGACAGGGTGCCACGGTGTGTGTGAGCAGAGGGGAGGAGCTCTCTCATCCTCAGGGAGGCAGCAGCTCCTGCGGGATGTGCTCTCTGCATCCCCTCCCAGAGCCTTGGGGAGCTGCTGGCTGAGAGCAGAGGGAGTCAGCTTTGCTTGGATCACTTCCCAAGGGATTGGGATTCCAGCTGCCCTCTCCTTGTGTGGTTCCTGATTGCTGAAGTTTGTGGGGCTCACCTGTCCCTGCCAGGATGTCACAGCAGCTCCAGGTGTCAGGGCATCGCTGCCTCGCGCAGCCGATTGATCCTGGCGTTGTCTTCTGGATTTCTTTCAAATCTCTGCTTCAGTGCTGAGCCACATTTTCTGCTAATCAAATCCAATCATTGTCAGTGCTCATCTGGAGGGAAGTTCTGTCTCTGTGGACCTCCTTGTTTCTTGTGTTGACACCACCCTGGCTCTGCTCTGTGCTCAGAGCTTGGGGATCAGTACCAGGAACAGATCCTGATGAGGTGGAGGAGCAGCTCTGTTGTTTAATGGCCATTGCAGAGGAATCCCTGACTTTGGAATGCAGAAATGTTGGAAGTCATGGCTTTGGCTTTGTGTTCTGCTGTTTCAGATGCTTTGTTCTTGAAGGAGCCCTGTGATATTTGTGTGCTGTGAGGTGAAAATGTGTTGCTGTTTAACATTACAGGCACTGAGAAATGGGAAAACGATCCTTTGGGTGTAGTCTTTGAAAATCAAATAAATAGATCCAATGATCAATGAAGGTAAAGAAAATGTGTGAGTGAAAGAGCTGGAGAATTGCTGTTTATGGACCCTTTGAGCACAGAGTGGCCAAAATCAGGCACAAAGACCTGATTTAGAAAATGCTTTTATCCACATTTGTTAAGATTCTTGAAAGAGAGATGATAAGGCATGTGAAATATCTGTGAATGAATAATTTCTTCATTTCCTCACATCTGGTAGCTGATGGAGAAAGCAATTTTTATTTTCTGCTTTTCATCATGGCGGGGGTAAGGGATACTGGGGAAGGGATGGGGACAGCCTGTCCCTCCTGTGCCATTGTCCAGGAGCCACCAAGTCATCTGCAGGGCTGGAGCACCTCTGCTGAGAGAATTGGGATTGTTCAGCCTGGGAAAGAGAAGGTTTGGGGTGATCTCATTGTGGCTTTCCAGTGCCTGCAGAGAAAAATGGAGAAGGGACTGGGAGAGATGGCTTCAAACTGACAGGGAATAGATTTAAATTGGATACCTGGGAGAAATTATTCCCTGGCAGGGTGGGGAGGGGCTGGGGTAGAATTCCCAGAGCAGCTGTGGCTGCCCCTGGCAGTGTCCAGGGCCAGGTTGGAGCAACCTGGCACAGTGGGAGGTGTTCCTGCCATGGCAGGGGTGGCACTGGATGGGCTTTAAGTTCCCTTCCTCCCCAAACCATTCCATGTTGACCAAATCAGATAAAAATAGCACTTAACATCCTTTTGGATTTAGCTGGGAATGTACTGATTGGATCTTTGTAGCCGCTCTGTTTTGAGGTTCCCCCAGCTCAGCCCCACTCCTGGGACAGGATTTGTTTTGGGGAAGCTGCTGGGCACACTCTGAGCAGCCTTTGGGTGGCTTCTGAGGTTGGCTGGGACAGCTGTGAGTTCACATCACCTTCTGAATCTCTCTGTGCAGCTTCTCCATTCTTCAGATGTCTGATGGAAATAATAATTTGCTGTGTGCCAGTTTTGTGGTTTGGCGCATCTGGAGGTTGCAGCACTTTCCATGAGTTCAGTTTGAAGTGCTCCATGGAAGGATTTGGTCCCAGTGACGGTGGTGTGGCAGGAGGCAGCTGAGCTGCGTCCCTGCAGGGCAGGGGAGCCCATGTGGCTGCAGTTTTGGGGAGGGTTTCACTTGGTGTCACTGCCCCGTGTGACAAATGTCACTGCAGAAGGTGGCAAGGCTGAGGCAGAACTGAAAATAACTGAGGTACAGTAACAAGAGATTTTTAAACTGGGATTCTGAGTGAGTGACCCCTGAGGATTTGTAAATCATGTAAATATCTACTAAATAATTCACTAATATACCACTAATTTTTGCAAAGTGGGATGGCCACAGAATAGAAGAATTTAGACTGGAGGGGATTTCTAGAGGTTAATGTGGTGCTTTCTTCTGTCTGATTCTTAGATGAGATCTATAAAATATTCTCTTAGTTGAGATCTCCAGAATATTATCTTAGTTGAGATGTGCAGAATATTATCTTAGTTGAGATGTGCAGAATATTGTTTTAGTTGAAATCTCCAGATTATTGTCAGTTGAAATCTCCAGAATATTGTCTTAGTTGAGATCTATAGAATATTGTTTAAATTGAGATCTATAAAATATTGTTTTAGTTGAGATCTCCAGAATATTATCTTAGTTGAGATGTGCAGAATATTGTCTTAGTTGACTTCTCTAAAATATTTAGTTGAGATCTATAGAATATTATCTTAGATGAGATCTATAGAATATTTTCTTACTTGAGATCTATAGAATATTTTCTTACTTGAGATCTACAGAATATTATTTTAGAATAGAAATAAAGCATAATCCCAAGGTCCTGGTCCTGCTGGAAGTGGTGCTGCAGTACCAGAAGTCTTGGCTGAGGTCAGTGATGGTGGTGTAACATTCCAGTGCTGGTCACTGGTGGGCCATGAGCATCTGAACAGTTTTTGGGATTTTTTTGCCCTGTAACTCACCCAGCAGGAATTGCTGAGCCCCTTGCTCAGCCTGGCAGGGCTCTGTGCAGAGCCAGGACTGAACCCTGTGTGTAAACCTGCAGCATGCTGCGAGGAGCCTGCATCAGTGTGGGCGTTACTCATTTAAAAACTTTTTAAACTCCTTTTTAAAAGCTTGATAAACTCCTCCCTGCTGAGCACAGAGGTGCCTCAGCCCCACTGGGCTGCAGGGAGTGTGTAAACACTGAGTAGGAGGGGAGTTAGTGCTGTTGTGCAGGGTGTTGGTGGTGCTGGGACGCTGCAGTGGCACAGGGGAGGGCAGTCACCTGCTCCTGTCCCAGCATGTGCCTCAGCTGCTGGGCTTTGGCCTCCGGTCCAGAGTTGGGGTTTCTTTTTGAGTTTGCTTCCTCCTGTGTGCTCAGCAGCTGAGATTTGAGAATGAGGAGCAGGACAAGCGTTTTCCTGCAGTTTCAGCGTTTCCAGTCCGTGTCAGATACTGATCCCTGCTCTGGGACAGGGACAGCAGCCAGGGCACGGCTGGGGCTGGGCCAGGGCAGCTCAGGCTGGAGATCAGGGCAAGGCTCTTCCCCCAGAGGGTGCTGGCACTGCCCAGGCTGCCCAGGCAATGGGCACGGCCCCGAGGCTGCCAGAGCTCCAGGGATGCCCAGGCTGGGCTTGCTGGGGGCTCTGGGCAGGGTTTGGCTTTGGGATTGATCATCCCTGTGGGTCCCTTCCAGCTCAGCACATTCCATGATTGTGTGAGAGTGAGGGATGGGGGAGAAATTTGGGCAGCGCTGCAGGGATGGCCAGGGTGGGGTTGCTGGGGGGTTCAGGAGCTGGATCAGTGATCCCTGTGGATATTCCAGCCCAGGATGCCCAGGATGGGGTTGCTGGGGGTCTGGGCAGGGACAGGAGCTGGACTTGGATCATCCTTGTGGATCTGTTCTGTGCTTCTGTCAATTTATTTATCTAACAGTTTCAAGTTTATGCTTTATTTTTCTGTTCTAAATGACTCAGTTTTCATCAAATTAAAGTATTGGTTTTTTCTGCCTCATGTCGTTGTAACCTGTAAATTTGTAAAGGTAATTTACATTGTAAATTTGCCAGGTTTATACAGGAGATTCTCCTTGATTCCCACCTGAAATGATGCTGGCTCCTCATGCCTTGAGTCCCTCACCTGAAACCACTGTGAAATATGAGCAGAAACAGTTGTGTTAGGCTTTGTGTGTCTTAAAAGCAATTGCTGGTTGTTCCTCTCCTGTGCATGTATAAATGTAACACACAGCAATAAATCTGTGTGTAATAATACATGTGTGTGTATAATAATGAAAGTACAGAAATGTTGTAACTGCTGGGAGTGTAAAGGTAAGTCATCCTCTGGAGCTCCATAACCAGGCTCTCAGTGTGGAGCAGAAAAATGGCTCTAAACTGTGATTATAATAAAAATAGCAGCAAAGAAAAGCATTTCTCATGGCCTGTTCTCCCCTCTGTGCATAGGTGCGTTCCATGGATGAGCTGAATCACGACTTCCAAGCGCTGGCTCTGGAGGGACGGGCTATGGGAGAGGTAAGTGAGAGGCCTGGAGGAAAAAAATCTGTGTTTTGGGAGGGGGAAGAAATGAAATAGCAGCTTTTGGAGGCTGCTGGGTGAGTGTGATGCTGAGGGCTCTCTGTTCTATCTGTGTGTGTGTGAGTGTGTGAGTCTTTCTGTGTGTGGTTGATCCAACTCCAAACCTGCCGGGCCCCAAACCTGCCGGGCCCCAAACCTGCCAGGCCCCAAACCTGCCAGGCTGGAATCCATCTCAGAGGGAGGAACAGTTCAACTTTCACCTCTTGGCTCATCCAGCAGGAGAGAGTGGCTGCACAACAACAGCTCAAAATCCAGCTAGGGACAGGTGTCCCGAGCCTTGAGCAGGTTTATTTTGGGATTCACTGAGCTCAGCCCTCGTTGGGCTGTGGGGCATTGTCTGCTGCTCTGTTTCCAGTCCTGGCCACCTTTTTTTGGCTCTTGCAGAAAGGCCAGGGCTGTGTTCAATGTTTGGAGTAACTGGGCAGGGTGAGCCCAGGAGGGACAAGAGCAGGGCAAGATAATGGCCCTGCAGCTGGAACTTCACAGACCCCCAGCCAGAGTTAATTTAATCTCTCACAGTAGCAAGGAGGTGGCAGATTTAGGGGGAAATGCCCACTGGTTTTCTTGGAAAAAGGAGAATTTATCTGGTTTTGGAGTGACCTGAAAGAGTAGCTTTAGTTCCTGTAGGTTCCTGGAAGTTGGATGGAAAGACTTCCTTGCCTTGCCTGGTTCCTTCTGCCTTTAGTGAGTCCCTTGTGGAAGGACAGAGGAGAAAATCATGGCTGGTAGGAGGATGTTCATGTGTGGCAGCTCAGCTTGATGCAAGTCTGATGCTCCTCTCAAACTCAGACCAGTTTATTTCCTCCATGTTTAATCCATCCTGTCTGGTACCCAGTGCATGAGCCAGGTGTGAAAAATAAAAACCTTGGAACCCTGAAGTTGCTGTTTTGGAGAAAAAGAGCAAACCAGGACTGTGGTGTGGTGGGATTCATAGGGAAGTTCCCTCTCTCAGGTCAAAGACTTCCTTCCTTCCTTCCTTCCTTCCTTCCTTCCTTCCGCCACTTCCGCCACTTCCGCCACTTCCGCCACTTCCGCCACTTCCGCCACTTCCGCCACTTCCGCCCCTTCCTTCCGCCCCTTCCTTCCGCCCCTTCCTTCCGCCACTTCCTTCCTTCCATCCACCCATCCATCCATCCATCCTTGCTTTCCATTCCTGCCTTCCTTCTCTGCCCCTTTTCCTTTTTTCTCTTCCCCCTTTCCTTTTGTCTCTTCCCCCTTTCCTTTTTCTCTTCTCCCTTTCCTTCTTCCCCCTTTTTCCTCTTCTCCCTTTCCTTTTTCCTCTTCCCCCTTTCCTTCTCTCCCTTTTTTTCTGTAGAATAATCCAGGGTTAGATTTTGATGTGACTTGAGAGGAAAATCCATTTCCCCAGGTTGGATTAATTTACCCCAAGACCATTGACTAAGAGGAGGTGAAAATGATTTTCAGAGGAGCAAACCTGACATTAAAAACCTGCCTGAAGCTGCTGCACAGCAGCTGCTGTGCTCCATGTGCAGCTTGCCTGTGGAATGCTGGGGGTGGGAATGTTCTGAGTTGGTGACACCTCATTTGGGCAGGAGGTTCATTCCCAGGCTGGCTGGGAGCAGGTTCACAGCGAGCACAGAACTCGTTTGCTTGTCAGGACACAAGGTCACAGGGCTGGAATGCCTGAAGGAATTCCTAAAAGTGCTGAGTTCTCCCAGCTTTTGGTTTATTTAGGCATTTCTGAGAGGAGCCAGTTTGGGTTTGTGTTTTGGAGCTTTGCCTCCCAGTGATGACTCATTTTTTTCTCCCTTCTTGTAACTGTGATGCAGAAAGTTTTGGCAATGACATTTTTTTGTCACTGGGCTTTTCCACATGCTGGAGTGAGCTGGATTTTTTGGGAAAGGTGACATCTCACCCTTCTCTTTCAGCTAACCACTATTTCTTGTTTCTTTTGGGGCTTCTCTCCCTCAGTCTCACAGTTTCCATTATTTACCCATTGAATTTTCTCTGTATTTCTCCAAGGGTGATTTCAGGAGATCCCACAGGATCTGTTTTGGCTTTCAGGACCATGATCCTCACCTGGATTTTGTGCAGTTTAGATGCCTTAACAAGGCACTGGTGGTTTCCAGCCCTTCTGCTCCTGGAATGAGAAGGAAACTTGGGGAGAAAGTCAGAGAGTCTGAAATAAGTTGATAGTGGAGAAAGATGAGGAAGGGCATTTCTGCATTTAGTGTTAGATTTCTTTTATCTTCTCATTTCCTTGCTCCTTGTTAAGCACAGTCATGATTTCAGTGACGGAAGGAGTTTGTGAACACATCAGAGCAGTTTGTTAAAGAGCACTGTCAAACAGTTAAATCTCTTATCTATCCTGCTCTCAAAATGTAGATAATGCTTGGAGATCAACAGATATCCTTATCTGGGAGCATTAAGAATAATTTAAAAGCACCCACAACTTTCTTCTCTCTTGGGGTTGTTTCCATCCTCAGACTCCCAGCCTCACATTCCTGAATTTCCAGCAAGTGGAAGTGCAATATTTTCTCAAGCAGAGATTGAAAAGGGTCCCAGAGCCCCCTTTTCTCCACTGTGAGAGGTGAAAACTTTGTGCTGTTGGTAGTGACTGCTCAGTAATGCTAGAGCAGCTCTGGGGCAGGGGATGTTGTCCCTCTGTTCCATCACCTTGTCCAGGCTGTTCTGTGGGATGAAGAACTCACCTTGGAGCTTTGTCTGGCAGCCCCATGTGGGATTTTGGTGCTGTGGCTCAGCCCAGCACATCTGGCCCTTGATCCCACAGCCCTGGCCCTTATCTTTGCCTTAACACAAGTTCCTTTTCTCCCCACCCCCAGGATGGGAGCTGCATGTCTGCTTTTCCTCACTGAAATCCCTTGGGTTTCATTGTCCCTTTGCGGCAGGGAATGTGGCTGCAGCGTCTCTGGGGACACAGAGGGGCTCTGGGTGCAGCTGGGTTTGTCCCCAACCCTCACAGGCATTTGGAGTAGGTTGTGCAAAGTCTGTCTGGAGTCAGGAGCAGCTGGGTGAGGTGCTGGTGAAACTTAATCCGAGGGTGGGAGGAGGATGGGGACACAGAGCCATGAGGCAACTGGAGGTGCTTGACTCAAACTGGAGTGCTGGGGTAGCAGGGAATTGCAGCCTGCCCTGGAAGAGAAATGCTGGTAAGAAATAATTGTGCATTTCACTGAGAGTGTTGAATTCCTGCTGGGCTGCTGCCCTGGCAGTGCTGGGATCACTGAGTGTGGGCAGTGAAATTGCTGCAGCCCCTGGGGATCCTTGTAGGGGAACTGTGGGACATCAGGACCCGGAGAGGCAGGGATAGGGGTAGGGGACAGCAGCCATGGAGCTGGGCCAGGGCAGCTCAGGCTGAGATCAGGGCAAGGCTCTTCCCCCAGAGGGTGCTGGCACTGCCCAGGCTGCCCAGGGAATGGGCACGGCCCCGAGGCTGCCAGAGCTCCAGGGATGCCCAGGCTGGGGTTGGTGGGCTCCAGGAGCTGGATAAATCCTCTCTGTGGATATTCCAGTCCAGGATGTTCCATGATTCTATGCCCATGTCCATGGTTAATGCCACATTGGTGCAGCTGGGCAGCTTCTGGAGAAGCCCCTGCACAGGGACACAGTGCCAGTGGTGAGACTGGGGCTGGACACTTCTGCACCTGGATTAAAGAAAACAACCCCAAACCAGACAAAAATGAAGGAAAAAACCACCCCAAACTAAACCCCTGTGCCTCTGCTTGCCATGGCACTGATGTGCTGTGTTCCCATAAATTTATGATTTATTGGCCCCATAAATTGATGATTCATTGGCAGCTGGGGAGTCCTGGCAGTTGGGAATAATGTTTGGGTTGGGTTTTCCAGTTTCCCCAGTGTTGGCAGTGCTGAAAATGGGAGTGGGGCCAGGATGGAGATGAGAACAGTGGGATGGGGGTAGAGATGAGAACAGTGGGGCCAGGATGGAAATGGGAACGATGGGATGGGGGTAGAGATGGGAACAGGATGGAGATGGGAACAGTGGGGTTGGGATGGAGATGGGAACAGTGGGACTGGGATGGAGATGGGATCTGTAGAGCTGGGATGGAATCTATAGGGCTGGGATGGAGATGGGAACAGTGGGGTCAGGATGGAGATGGGAACAGTGGGACTGGGATGGAGATGGGATCTGTAGAGCTGGGATGGAGATGGGAACTATAGGGCCAGGGTGGAGATGGGATCAGTAGAGCAAGGCTGGTGATGGTGCCACAGCAGCTCCCCTGGCACTTCAGGAAAGTTCAGGGCAGGGTTGGGAGCAGATGGAGCAGAAGGAATGGTCAGACATTCCCAATCCTGTGCTCCCTTTCCTGTTCTGTCCCCAGAGCTGTGAGCAGTGTGAGTCCCAGAGCAGGCAGGGAATGCCAGTTCCTTGCAGGGCAGTGCCAGGGGTGTGAAGGGCTGGCACAGCTGGCACTGCTGCCAGGTGCTCCCCTCCCTGTGCAGGGCTGGCACAGCTGGCACTGCTGCCAGGTGCTCCCCTCCCTGTGCAGGGCTGGCCCCAGATAACATGTGCAGTACAAAGCAGGACCTGCACACACCCATGAACACCCTCTCTGCCTTCCCTGCCTGTTGCTGCAGACAAACCCAGCTCTGCCCTGCACAGATGGCTGCTTTTATCTTAATATTTGCTTTGTCTGAAGAGGATCAGTTTTCTTAATTTGTCTAATTCATAATCCCATCTCAGTGGGATCTCTGTGCCCTGGCTGCTGGAAGAATTGCTTTTGTTGATGATGGGTGAGTCCTCCCCTCCTCCCAGCTCTGCCAAATTGAATATTGGCCTAACTGGTAAGTCCTTTGTAAGAGGGCTTAGCAGGATTATTTTCATACTGGATAGGGTCAATTTTAATAAAAACCAGGGAATGAATAAACCACTCTGATTCTAAACCACTGCTTGTTCTTTTGAAATGTCCAACGTGCACAACTGCATGAGAGTCACTTAAAATACCCTTTTTTTCCTTTCTTCCATTGCAACTGACAACTTTCCCTGAGGAAAAATTCATTGTCTTAGCAGCCTGTTGCATAATTGCAGCTGATTGCTGCTTGCTAATGCTCTGTGTTGGTTGGAGCAGCACTTGACAGAACAAAGCCCCCTCCCCTGTTAGCATCTGTTAATACTGGATTTGGGGTTTCCCCGATATCTGGAAATAGCTCTGGAATCTCTGTGTGAGGTGAACTTCTCTCCTCTGTTTGTTTCTGCTGATGGTGCAGAACTTCCAGTTGGGAACTTGGTGCTTCTGGTGGGGAAAGGTTGAACTGGAGGGGACAGAGCTGGGGTTTGTGCAGGACACAGAGAGAATGAAAATGTTTTGTGAGCCTTGGTTGTGATTCACTGCAAAATTCAGAAGGTGTTGGAGTGCAGTTCTGCAGGTAAAGGTTTTGTTTTCCTTAGGGAAGGGGTAGAGGAGAGCAGGGCTGGATCAGCTGCAGATCCCTCTCCAGCGGGAAATGCCGGCACAGCCCTGGGTGTGCTGGAGAATCCCAGGGTGCTGTGGGTGGGGAGGGGTCTCAGAGCCCACCCAGTGCCACCCCAGGGACACCTCCCACTGTGCCAGGTGCTCCAGCCTGGCCTTGGGCACTGCCAGGGCTCCAGGGGCAGCCACAGCTGCTCTGACAATTCCAGCCCAGCCCCTGCCCACCCTGCCAGGGAGGAATTTCTTCCCAAATAGAAATAAAGGATGAGGGGGGTTTGGGCCCTGCAGGACAGGGCAGAGGCAGGAAAGAATGAGCAGAAAAGAGAAATTTCCAACCTTAGCAATTCCATTATTTTCTTTTCAGGGATACAGGAGAGGGACTGGGGACAAGGATGGAGGGACAGGAGGCAGGGAATGGCTGCCAGTGCCAGAGGGCAGGGCTGGATGGGATCTTGGCAATTGGGAATTGTTCCCTGGCAGGGTGGGCAGGGGCTGGGCTGGAATTGCCAGAGCAGCTGTGGCTGCCCCTGGAGCCCTGGCAGTGCCCAAGGCCAGGCTGGGCATTGGGGCTGGCATCACCTGGCACAGTGGCAGGTGGCCCTGCCCTGCAATCAGCTGCCATTGAAGATCCCTTCCCACCCAAACCACTCTGGCATTCACATTCCTCAATCAAGGATGGAAACCAGCACCAAAACCCATTGCAGCAAATGGAGAAAGGAAAGGAAAGAATGATTTCCTGGCTGGTTGCAGGTGCCCCCAGTGCCATTTGCCACAGGGGGTTTGTAGCCTGGCAAGGCCTGGTTAGAGAGGTTTGGGCTGTGCCAGGGTGGCCAGAGCAGCTGTGGCTGCCCCTGGAGCCCTGGCAGTGCCCAAGGCCAGGCTGGAGCACCTGGCACAGTGGGAGGTGTCCCTGCCATGGCAGGGGTGGCACTGGAGGGGATTTAAGGTCCTTCCCACCCAAACCATTCTGGGATTCACTGATTTTGAGCTGTGGCTGCAGAACATTTTGTGTCCTTCACTGTGAGGTGTTGTCAGGGGAAATGTTTAATTGCAGCTAAAATTCAGTTAAATCAGTTTGTGCTGCTTTCTGTTTAAAATTCCTTGCAATGCCATGAGCAGAGTTGTTATTTCTGCACTGTGGCAGGAGCAGGAATAAAAATAGCTGTGTTTGAAGAAATATGGGAATGACAGAAGCTTAAAAGAATTTGCAAGACACCTGAGGTGTGCTGGTGTTTATAAATACTGGAGAGCAGTGCCTTGGCGTGTCCCCCCCTCCTGGTGCAGATGGAGGAGCAGGTTCAGCTGTGTTTGCAATGATTGCTGCTCATGGCAGCCCCCTGCCCTCCCATTGGGGTTATTTTGGGATGGCAGGAAGGGGAGCATGGGGCAGGGTCTCTGCTTTTATCCTGGAGCAGCCTGAAACATGCTGAGGGTGTGAGGAGAAATCCTGTCTGGAATCGCTGCAGACTGATTGGTTTTGTAAACAAACAGCTCTGTTGAGCTGGGGAGGAAAAGAGAGCACAACTTTGTGATTGTGCTTTAAAGCAGCACAGGAGAGCTGTGAAATCAGTTCTTGGTGCTTCCTCTGCATCCAGCAGCTGATTTACTGCTCAAGTTCAGCCTTAGATCTGCACTTCTGCTGCTGGAGTTATCAGCCGGAGGTGATACCAGTCTGGATATTGAATTTGCAATCAATCAGGGCATGGAATTTGATATCAAATCAAGATATTGAAATGCTTATCAGGATATTTAATTTGCTATCAGTCAGGGTATTGAAACAGATAGCAATCAGGATTTATCAGCACTCCTGATCCAGAGGGGAGATCCCCAGGGCTGATGATTCTTGTTTGTTCCATGGTAATTTCAGGCACATTCAGGTTCTTTTCATCTTCAGTGCCTTGAGTTTTATCCCAGCTCGAGGCAGGGCTCATTTCATGGTTAATTTGCTGTGAATGTGCTGCTGGGAATTCCATCCATCCCATCCAGAGGATTTCCTGGGATATTGTCCCCTTGTCACCTCAGGGCTGGGAATTCCCAGTGTGGAATGAAGCTGTTCCTAAACCCCCTAAAGAACGGGAGGAAGGATCAGGAGAGGGATGGAGGGACAGGAGCCAGGGAATGGCTGCCAGTGCCAGAGGGCAGGGCTGGATGGGATCTTGGCAATTGGGAATTGTTCCCTGGCAGGTTGGGCAGGGGCTGGGCTGGAATTGCCAGAGCAGCTGTTCCCTCTGCCCCCTCCAGAGCCAGGACCCCTGGTGCTATCCCAGCTCAGGGTGGCTCTGTCCCATTCCACACGTGGCAGGTGCTGCCCTCCCTCCCATCAGTGTTCCCAAAGAACCCCTGCAGCACCAGAGTCCCCAGCAGAAGGAGAAATGGGAATTCCTGAGCTTTCCTATTCCTGATTTCCTGTTGCTTCAGCAGAAGGAGAAATGGGAATTCCTGAGTTTTCCTATCCTTGATTTCCTGTCCCTCCAGCAAAAGGAGAAATGGGAGTTCCTGAGCTTTCCTATTCCTGATTTCCTATCACTCCAGCAGAAGGAGAAATGGAATTCCTGACCTTTCCTATCCCCGATTTCCTGTCCCTCTGGCAGAAGGAGAAATGGAAATTCCCAAGCTTTCCCATCCCTGATTTCCTGTCCCTCCAGCATAAGGAGAAGTGGGAACTCCTGAGCTTTCCTATCTCTGATTTCCTGTCCCTCCAGCATAAGGAGAAGTGGGAACTCCTGAGCTTTCCTATCTCTGATTTCCTGTCCCTCCAGCATAAGGAGAAGTGGGAACTCCTGAGCTTTCCTGTCCCTTCAGCAGAGGGAGAAATGGGAATCCCTGAGCTTTCCTATCCCTGATTTCCTGTCCTCCCAGCAAAAAGAGAAATGGGAATTCCTGACCTTTCCCATCCCTGATTTCCCGTCTCTCCAGCAGCAGCTCCCATTGGCAGGCAGGAATTTATTCCCATGTGATCTCAGGAAAACTCTCAATATTTCCCCCTCTTTGTTTCCCCTGTGAGTGCAGAGAGGCTGCAGTGTGTCTGTGAGTGTGCCTGATGTGTGGGGGCTCCTGGAGCTGGGAGGAACATCAGGAATGGGGACATGGAATTGTTCCCTCAGCTTTGGGAATGTCAATATTTCAATATTTGATTATCTCAGTTGTGTTTAATGGTTGATACCTGATAGAAAGGAGATGCTTATGGGGTTTATGTTTGCATTTTATACTTATTTTAATCATGCTTTGCTTTGTTTTGTTCTTTTTTTTTGTTTGTTTTTTGTTTTGTTTTGTTTTGTTTTTAATTGCAGCAGCTGTTGCCGGGTAAAAAGTTTTGGGAATCTGATGATTCCAGCAAAGATGGACCAAAAGGGATATTTCTGGGAGATCAGTGGAGAGACAGTGCTTGGGGAACATCAGGTAGCTCAATTATTTCCTTCATTTAGTTGGGGTTGAATACAGAAATGTGCAATTTATTTACTCAAATCCATGGCTTGGTGACACAGCTTTAAATTAAAAACCCAGCTGGCTTATGTAATAAAAACAAATAGAAAACCTCACTTTGCTTTGTGATAAAATTAGGATATCCATGGATATCAGAACATTGTCTAATGTGAATATGTGTAAATTCATGTTCATCTGCTTAAAAACCTTCATTTACCCTGAAAATTTCAATTTCTGATGTGTTTTCTGCTCTTGGGATGGATCAGCTGAAAGTTTGAACAAAGGTCTTGGACAACAAGATGAATAAAAAAAATTCCCTTCATTTTAAAAATACTAAACCAACCAAACAAAACCCACCACGCAGTTAAAAAAATTAAAATGATGTTTTGAATTAGTGTTGAGTTAAATCTGCCAAAGATTTTATTCTTGCATCAGAGGCTGTCCCTGATTTTGGACTTGATGGGAGAGCAACATTCAGATTAAGAAGAAAAAAAAAAGGAGATTTTGAATTAATATTTATTTTTATCTGCCAAAGATATTGTTATTGGCTCAGAGACTCTGCCTGATTCTGAACTTTGAGGGAGAAAATTCAGGTCGGTTTTAGGAAGAAAAACAACCTGCAAGTGCTGGGTTTGAAATGCTGACCTTTGATTTGTTCTGTCCGTGGCTTTTGTGTCATCAATCTGCTCCTGGAACTCAGCTGGGGTTTGGTGCAGCTCCCAAAACCTGCAGCTCCCAGGAAATGGAAATTACAGCTCCCAGGAAATTGCAATTACAGCTCCCAGGAAATGGAAATTACAGCTCCCAGGAAATGGAAATTACAGCTCCCAGGAAATGGCATTTGCCTCACTGTTGTGTGGGGTTTTCCCTGATGAAAATACCCATTTTTAAATTAGTAATAAGGCCTTTTTCTATTATTTCCATGGAATGAATGAAAAGGGGACAGAGCTTCTCCCCATGTGCCTGGCTGGGTCACTCTGGGCCCTGGGGGTTTTTGGATGCTGCTGCCTGTCCCAGCCTGGGGCTGAGGGGGATTAGGGCTGAGCCAGGCTTTGGGACCAGCTGGGCTTGGCATTTTCTCCCCCAGCTCCTTCTCATCCCTCCCTGTGCTGTTCCCATTCATCCCACAGCTCTGAGTGTCTGGAAGTTTCCCTTTGGCTCCCCAAAATAAATAAGGGAGCAGCACCTCAGGGCTCTGCTCCCAAACCCCCCAGTCCCTGCAGCCCCCATGGGATGGTGAGGCTGGATCCTCCCTGGCTCCATCCTTCCTGCAGGATTCACTGCTGGATTTTGGGTTTTGCCTTTCCTTCCACTCCTGGGGCAGCAGTGCTTTGTTAAAACCAGCTTTTCCCCTTTTTTGGAAGCTTTTTGCCCCCACAATCCCTCCATGGGATGGTGCAGCCTGGATTCCCCCGGTTCCATCCCTGCCCACAGGAGGCACTGCTGGATTTGGGGTGTCACTCCTCTGCCTCAGAGTTGGGGATTTAGAACCTTTAAAGGCTTTTCCGGACCTTTAAAAGCTAAAAGTTCTAGTCCTGCCCTTCCTTCCACTCCTGGGACATGGAGTTGGACAGCAGTGCTGGATTAAAATCAACTTCTCCCTTTCTTTGAAGCTTTTTGCCCCCACAATCCCTCCATGGGATGGTGAGGCTGGATCCTCCCTGGCTCCATCCTTCCTGCAGGATTCAGTGCTGGATTTGGGGTTTTGCCTTTCCTTCCACTCCTGGGGCAGCAGTGCTGGATTAAAACCAACTTTTCCCTTTTTATAGAAGTTTTTTCCCCCCACAATTCCCCCAGTCCATGAAACCCCCATGGGATGGTGCAGCCTGGATCCTCCCTGCTTCCATCCCTGCCCACAGGAGGCACTGCTGGATTTGGGGTGTCACTCCTCTGCCTCAGAGTTGTGGATTTAGAACCTTTAAAGGCTTTTCAGAACTTTTTTAAAATCTAAAAGTTCTAGTCCTGCCCTTCCTTCCACTCCTGGGACGTGGAGTTGGGCAGCAGTGCTGGGTTAAAATCAATTTTTCCCCTTTTTTGGAAGCTTTTTTGCCTCCACAATCCCTCCATGGCATGGTGAGGCTGGATCCTCCCTGGCTCCATCCTTCCTGCAGGATTCAGTGCTGGATTTGGGGTTTTGCATTTCCTTCCACTCCTGGTGCAGCAGTGCTGGATTAAAATCAACTTTTTCCCTTTTTTTTGGAAGCTTTTTTTCCCCCACAATCCCCTCAGTCCATCCAGCTCTGGATCTCCCTTGGCTCATCCCTTTTCCATCCCTGCCCACAGGATGCACTGCAGGCCTCCCATGTGGATTTGGGGTTTTGCTCTACCCCAAAGTTGTGGATTTAGACCCTTCAAAGCCAGCCCAGCTCAAAGCTGCAGTCCTGCCCTTCCTTCCCCTCCTGGGACACAGAGTTGGGCAGCAGTGCTGGGTTAAAACTGGCTTTTTCCCATTTTTGGAAGCTTTATCCCCAAAAAATCTCCCCAGCCCAAGTCCCTCTGAGGCCACACTGATGGGAAAAGGAAAGGAATTTATCCAGGAGCAGTGAGAGGATGGAATTCCCTTCACCTGCTTCAGGAGGAAGCTGCAGTGTCAATGTCCTTGGGTGTTGATGGTCCTCCCACATCCCACCAGCCCCTGGCAATTCCCAGCCCTGCTGCTTTTCACTCCCTGCCTGCTGCCAGGAGTAGAGAATTCCTTTCCCTTTCCCCCCCCCCCCCACCTTTTTCCCCCCTTTCCCCCCCTCTATTCCCCCTTTTCCCCCTTCTCCCTTTTTCCCCCTTCCCCCCACCCTTCCCCCCCCCCCTTTTCCCCCTTTCCCCCTTTTTTCCTCCTTCCCTCCCCTTTTTTCTCTCTCCTTTTTTCCCTCCCCTTTTATCCCCCCCCTTATCCCTGCCTTTCCCCCCCTTTTTCTCTCCTTTCCCCCCTTTCCCCTCTTTCCCCCCTTTTTCCCCCCTTTTTTCCCCTTTTCCTCCCTTTTTTCCCCATTTCCCCCCCTTTTTCCCTTTTTTCCTTTTTCCCCCCTTTTCCCCCCTATTTCCCCCCCTCTCCCCCTTCCCCCCTCTTTTCCCCCTCTTTCCTTCCCCCCTCTTTCCCCCCCTTTTCCCCCGCTTTCCCCCCTTCTTCCCCCCTTTTCGCCCCTTCCCCCCCCTTTTCCCCCTTTTCCCCCCTTCCCCTCCCTTCCCTCCCCCTTTTCTCCCCATTTTTCTCCCTTTTCCCCCCTTCCCCCCATTTTCCCCACTTTTCTTCCCCTCCATTGTTCCCCCCCGTTGTTCCCCCCATTTTTCCCCCCATTGTTCCCCCCATTTTCCCTCCATTTCCCCCCCTTTCACCCTCTTTTTTCTTCCCCCCTTTTCTTCCCCTTTTCTTCCCCTTCTCTTACCCTTCTCTTCCTTTTTCCCTCCCCCTTTTCTCCCCCCCTTTTTCCCTCCCCTTTCCCCCCTTTCCCCTCCCCTTTTGGGGTCTCTCCCCTCTCCAGGCAGGGATTTTTGCAGAGCCCAGCAGGGTTTGAAGCCCCTGAGCCTGCCCTGGTTGGATCTCAAAGCCTCAGAGGGCTGAGGGGGTGCAGGGGGACAGGAGGATGAGGAAGGAGAAATGAACTCCTCAGAAACCTTTCCTTGAGGAAAGAGCAGCCAAAAAAAATTCTCTGATCCTGACATGAACACAACAATTGGTGGAACAAAGGACACAGGGCTGGTGGAGCAGCAGGATCATGGTTTAAATAACAAGCCAGAACTTGTTTAAACTGTGCTGATGCAAGAATTGTACTAAAACTAAAAAGTAAACCTTTGTTTTTTTAATTGCAACCTTTAGTTAGTCTTACATTTCTGACATATTATAAATTTAGATTTTAAACCTAGCTCTCACTTGCAGGTTTACACGTTGTAGTATTTAAAAAATGAGAAAACCATCCTGGTTTAACAAATGGCCACCAGCAGAATCCCAGAGTTGGCACTTCTGAGTGCAAATCATCCCCTGGGGAGTACATATTGAATGATTTAATTTGCCTCCTTTGAATAGTTGGATGTGCTTGTGAGAGTTTGCCATGTTTTGTTCCAGATCACTCAGTTTCCCAGCCAATTATGGTGCAGAGAAGACCTGGGCAGGGCTTCCATGTGAACAGTGAAGTGAACTCTGTGCTGTCCCCGCGCTCGGAGAGCGGAGGGCTGGGGGTCAGCATGGTGGAGTATGTGCTGAGCTCATCTCCTGGAGACTCCTGCCTAAGGAAAGGAGCGTTTGTAAGTGTCTCATTGCCTCAGCTCTGTTCTTTCCTCCCTTTGCTTGCCTGGGAATCATTTCTAGGGGTTTCTCTCTTTGCTCTCAGTTCAGCTCTTCCCTCAAGCAGGGCAGGTTTAGTCCTTGGCTTGGGGGTGTGGGGTGGGAGATGGGAAGGTGCTGGATTCCCTGGATCCTTGGAAAAGCCCCCAGCAGAACCAGCCCATCCAAGCTAATCCTGGAAAAGGTCCCACAAAGCTGCCCTGAGCCTGTGGCTGCCATGGTCTGTGATGGTGTCACAGGGGTCTGAGGATGAGGGAGGAGATGAGGATCCGACTCCATGTTTCAGAAGGCTGATTTATTATTTTATGACATATATTGTATTAAAACTATACTAAAATAATAAAAGATTTCATCAGAAGGCTGGCTAAGAATAGAATAAGAAAGAATGATAACAAAGGCTTGTGTCTCAGACAGTCTGAGCCAGCTGACTGTGATTGGTCATTAATTAGAAACAACCACATGAGGCCAATCCCAGATGCACCTGTTGCATTCCACAGCAGCAGATAACCATTGTTTATATTTTGTTCCTGAGGCCTCTCAACTTCTCAGGAGAAAAAATCCTAAAAAAAAAGAGGTTTTCAGAAAATATCATAGCTACATTGGTGCTGATGCCAGAAATGGGATTCCAGCTCCAAACCCTTTACCTGGTGATAGCTGTCATGGCATAGGGCTCATCCTTGTCCTGGAGGTTTTCCTCATGCTGTTTTTTGGGATAAAACCTCCCTAACAAACAGATTGGTGTCAGGCACCCTTCCCTGAGCTCCTGCTTGTGTCTGGGTGTGTTTCCCAGCTGGGGCAGGCTGTTTCCCTGGGGAAGGGCACCCCCCTTTTGTGGGGTGAGGAAGGGGCACAGCCTGCAGTTCATGGAAGTGGGGAGACCTGGCCTCAAAGCCAGCCTGGAGTGGGGAAAGGGCTCCAGAAATGTGGGAGAGCTCCTTTGGCTGCTGCCCTCAGCCCTGCTGGGGCTGCTGGCCTTCAGTGAGGCTGCCCAGGGAGCTGGGAGAGCCCTGGGAGAGCAGGGAGGATTTCTGGGACGTGAGCACTCAGACAAGGAGAGCAAGGAGGATTTTTGGGATGTGAGCACTCAGAGCAGGGAGGATTTTTGGGATGTGAGCACTCAGGACAAGGAGAACAGGGAGGATTTTTGGGATGTGAGCACTGAGAGCAAGGAGAGCAGAGATTTTTGAGATGTGAGCACTCAGGACAGGGAGAGCAGAGAGGATTTTTGGGATGTGAGCACTCAGGACAAGGAGGATTTTTGGGATGTGAGCACTCAGCAGGGAGAGCAGGGAGAATTTTTGGGAGAGCAAGGAGAGCAGGGAGGATTTTTGGGATGTGAGCACTCAGACAAGGAGAGCAGGGAGGATTTTTGGGGTGTGAACACTCAGGACAAGGAGAGCAGGGAGGATTTTTGGGATTTTAGCACTCAGGACAAGGAGCCAGTTTATCCCAGCTGGGCACCAGGGAGGGGTGTCACCACAGTCAGAGTGACACTGGTGTCACAGCTGTCACTGCTGAGCACCCCCTTGTTTGGGGTTGCCTTTACAGGTGGCATTTCCAAGGAATATTAAGGAAACACAATTTTATTTTCTTCCAGAAGCAGCACCAAAAGATTTTTGCTTTCGGAACAATTTTTTTTCTCTGAATATAAGGGGAAAATTCCTCTCTCCAATCAGAGAGAGTGGGAAAAGGGTTCAGTGGGTAGAGGCACAAATGCTGTGTGCCCAGCACTTCTCCCTGCAGTCAAGTGGAAGGCAGCCTTTGCATGTCTGTCCCTGTGACAGCACCAAAGCTGCCTCTGATAAATATGTTTATATGCCCCTTGCTGGTTTTTATCATAAATTATGTTGTTTTTCCTCTCCCTTTTGTTGTTCAAAACACTGCCCCAGGCATCACCACCCTTTATTCTCCTCCCAAGTGCAATAAAATGCAGACACGCTGCAGATGTAACAGCACTCATGGAATGCTCAACAGAACAGAAATCCATTTTTTCCCTCTTTTTTTTTTTCCCTTTTCTCCCAAAGAAATGTGCTTCAGGATTACAGGGGCTAATGATTGAGGCAGTGATTTATTTGAGTGTTTCTAAATGAGCTGTGCTTTGGAATTCACTGTTGATGCCTCCAAAACTGAGGTGATTTTTGAACACTTGTCCAGTCAAGAGCTGTGTCTGACACTGAGCCAGGCACTTCAGAGAGGCTTGATTCACTTTGTGCCCCTGCAGCATTTGCTGGTGTTGATTTTGAAGTGCTCAAGTCCCATCTAGAAAGAGAATTCCTTAAAATTCTTTTGGGATGGGATTTTTAGAGCCTATAAAAGCAAACCTTCAGTTACTAAATGAAGAAACTTGAAGAGATGAAACACCTCTTGGAAGAGTGAGAGCTAATTCCCTTATTTCTTTGATTAATATTGAATATTTTGTATTTTTAGTGATATTTTTGGTAGGAACTAATGTTTACTTCTTTTCTGGTGACATGTGTCTTTGATTTGTTACCATCTTGGGGTAACACGAGAATTGATCTGAAAACTCAGCTCATTAAAACAATGTCTCTTTTGCCCAGGGGCCAAGGGATGCAGAGAGTGATGAGAATGACAAAGGGGATAAGAAAAGCAAGGGCACGTTTGATGGAGATAAATTGGGAGATCTGAAGGAGGAGGGGGATGTGATGGATAAATCCAATGGTTTGCCTGTCCAGAACGGCATCGACGCCGACGTCAAAGACTTCAGGTACGTGCTCAGTAATTAATCAATTAATGCTCAGTAATTAATCAATTAATAATAATCACTGCTGGGGTCTAAGCTCATTAATCAATTAATAATAATCACTGCTGGGGTCTAAGATTATTAATCAATTAATAATAATCATTGCTGGGGTCTAAGCTCAGCCCCTCCAGGCTCTCACTCCCTGCAGTGCCATGAGGGGAGAATCGGAAGGGGAAAAGTGAAAATTGGAACATTTGAATGGGGAAAGGAAAAACTGGTTCTGGAAGTGAAGCTAAGGGAGGAATTGATGGAGCACAGCCCAGGGAAGGTGTCAGGGATCCATTCCCAGGGAAGCTGGGCTCTGTGGGGTCACTGGAGCATCTCCCTGCCCAGGAAAGGCTGAGGGGGCTGGGGCTGCTCAGCCTTGAGGGGAGCCCCAGCTGAGAGGAGCCCTCAGCCCTGTCTGTCCCTGTCTGTCTGTCCCTGTCTGTCTGTCCCTGTCTGTCTGTCCCTGTGCAGAGCTCAGAGCAGCCCCAGGCTCTGCTCCAGGCCCAGCCATGGCCCCAGAGCCATGGGCAGGGCCTGAGCCCAGGAACTGCCCTGGTCAGTGCCAGCCCTGAGCAGAGCCCAGAGAGGGGCTGGAGTCTCCTCCCTGGGACATTCCAGAGGCACAGGGACACTGTGCTGTGCCCTGAGCTCTGGATGGCCCTGCTGGAGCAGGGAGTGCCACCAGTGACCCATGGGGTCCTCCCAGCCTGACTCGGTCTGGGGTTCTGTGACAGGGACTGGTGAGGACCAAACACATCCCTGCAAACTCCCTGCCCTTCCCTGTCCCTCAGCTCTGGCTGCTGGGTGGGCTGGGATATCACAGAATCCCAGTGTGGGTTGGGCTGGAAGGGATTTTAAATCCCATCCAGGGCCACCTGCCACTGTGCCAGGTGCTGCCAGCCCCAGTGTCCAGCCTGGCCTTGGGCACTGCCAGGGCTCCAGGGGCAGCCACAGCTGCTCTGGCAATTCCAGCCCAGCCCCTCCCCACCCTCACTGTGACAAACTCCTTCTTTTATCTGATCCAGATGATTTGATAAATGATTATAAAATCTCTTTTAGAAAAGTTGGGATCAGCTGTCCCAGCTGTGTCACCCTCCCTGTGTCCCCAGCCCCTCCCTGGTGGGGTGAGGAGCAGAGCAGCCCCTGGCTCTGGGCATCCCTGTGGTGGTGGTTGAGGGTCCCCAGGATGAGGGAAGAGATGAGAATCTTGACTCCATGTTTCAGAAGGCTGATTTATTATTTTATGATATATATTATATTAAAAGAAAATGATACACTAAAACTATACTAAAGAAAAGAGAAAGGAGACATCAGAAAGCTTGAAAGGAATGATAATAAAACCTTGTGACTGACCAGAGACTCTGACACAGCTGGACCATGATTGGCCATTAATTAAAAACAATTCACATGAACCAATTTAAGATGCACATGTTGGTAAATCATTCCCAGACCACATCCCACAGGCATCAGATAATTATTGTTTACATTTCTTTTCTGAGGCTTCTCAGGAGAAAAATCCTAACAAAAGGATTTTTATAAAACATGTCAGTGACATCCCTGTGCAATCAGCCCAGTGCCAAACCTGCCCATGCACTCTGTGGCTTTGGAGAGGTTTTTCCATCCTGTGGAGTCCCCAGGGTGTTCTGAATGTCCTCAGGGGAGAGGGTGGGAACACCTGAGAGCTCAGGGCTGGTGTGTCCTGATCCCTTAGCCGTGATCCCTGATCCTGAGCCCTGATCCTGAGCCCTTAGCCGTGATCCCTGATCCTGAGCCCTGATCCTGAGCCCTTAGCCGTGATCCCTGATCCTGAGCCCTGATCCTGATCCCTTAGCCGTGATCCCTGATCCTGAGCCCTGATCCTGAGCCCTGTGATCCCTGTGATTTTCACACCCATTTTTAATCCCTCTGTGTGGGATTCCCATGGGAAGTGTTGGCTGTGCTCCTGTCCTGTCCCCACCACAGCAGGGCTTTGGGTTTGTTCCTTGCTGCTCTGCAGGGCTGAAAACCTCCTGGACTTGTGGCCTTTGATGCCATTGGTACATTTGTGTTCCTTGCTCATTTCTGGACCTCATGGCCTGTAGGAAAACTGGAGAAGCCAAATAAATGGTAAAATAAAATGTGAAAGCCAAACAGATGCTGGGAAATGCCAATTCCTGGCTCTTCCATGGATTGAAGCATTCCCAGTCCAGTCCCTGTTTTGGGTGGTCAGGAGCCCATGGCAGCTGCCTTAGGGTGGTGTTAAGTGAGATTTGATGCCAGAGCTCCACACAATTAAAAATCACCAAATGCTCCATTAAATATAAGTGTCTGGGGAGATCATGGCTTGCTCTCTCTGACTCTCAGTTCAGCAGAAAACAGAAACTGAATGTTTTACATTTTTACTGTAACAGGTGTTTGAGGCTGGGACTGGGGGTTGTGGGTTATTTTTGTTTGTTTTTAAAATCCATCAATTTCTTCATAGAATTAACTCAGGGAGCTATTTCAGCCCATGTTTTTTACTTTCCCCCCTTTATTGCACCACCTGCAGGCCCTTCTGGTGGCTCTGATGCTGGGCTGGAACATCCCAACTTTTATTTTTTTAAATTCATCAACTTCTGTGTAGAATTAACTTAGGGAACTATTTCAGGCCATCTCTTTTTATTTTTTTCCTGTCTTCTACAACACTTCTCCAGCTTCCAGGGGGTTCTGCTGGGGCTGGAGTGTATTGCTGCTGCAATGCTGGGCTGGAGCAGTCCTGGTTTTATTTTTGTTTATTTTTTTAAATACATCAGTTTCTCTGTAGAATTCTCTCAGGGAATTATTTCAGACCATCTTTTTCATTTTTCCCCTCTTTACTCCAACACCTCCAAGCAGTTCTGGTGGGTTTAGGGGTGTGATGTTGGGATGGAGTATTCTTGGTTTTATTTTTTGAAATACACCAATTTCTCAGTAGAATTAACTACTTCAGACCATCTCTATTTTTCTCCTCTCTTCTACAACCCCTCCAAGGAGTTCTGGTGGGTCTGGGGATGTGATGGAGCATACCTGGTTTGAGTTTGTATTTTATTTAAATACATCAGTTTCTCCATAGAATTAATTTGGAGAACTATTTCAGACCATTTTTTTGTTTTCCATGCTGTACTCCCCCACCTCTGGGCAGTTCTGGTGGGTCCGTGGATGTGATGGTGCATTCCTGCTTTTAATTTTTATTTTTTTGAAATACATCAATTTCTCCATAGAATTAATTTTGAGAACTATTTCAGACCATTTTTAAATTTTCTATCTTGTACTCCACCACCTCTGGGCAGTTCTGCTGGGTCCATGGATGTGATGGAGCATTCTTGCTTTTAGTTTTTATTTTATTTAAATACAGCAATTCTCCATAGAATTAATTTGATGAACTATTTCAGACCATGACTTTATTTTCCCTCCTGTACTCCAGGACCTGCTGCAGGGTGGGATGCTGGGCTGAAGCACTGCTGCCCTGTTTCCCTGCAGAATTCCCCTAACAAGGGCTGGAGCTCTCCTGCTCTGTTTCCCTCCACAGGAGCATTCCTCAGGAAGGGCTGGAGCTCTCCTACGCTTTTCCTGACCCGTTTTTCCCCCCAGGAAGGGCTGGAGCTCTCCTGCCCTGTTTCTGTGCAGGATCATTCCCCCAGGAGGGGCTGGAGCTCTCCTGCTCTCTTTCCCTGATCCGTTTTGCCCCCAGGAAGGGCTGCAGCTCTTCTGCCCTATCCCTGACCCGTTTTCCCCCCAAGAGGGGCTGGAACTCTCCTGCCCTGTTTCCCTGCATTCATTCCCCCAGGAAGGGCTGCAGCTCTCCTGCCCTATCCCTGACCCGTTTCCTCCCAGGAAGGGCTGCAGCTCTCCTGCCCTATCTCTGACCCGTTTTCCCCCCAGGAAGGGTTGGAGCTCTCCTGCCCTATCCCTGCCCTGTTTTCCCCCCAAGAGGAGCTGCAGCTCTCCTGCCCTGTCCCTGCCCTGTTTTCCCCCCAAGAGGGGCTGGAACTCTCCTGCCCAGTTTCCCTGCATTCATTCCCCCAGGAAGGGCTGCAGCTCTCCTGCCCTGTCCCTGCCCTGTTTTCCCCCCAGGAGGAGCTGCAGCTCTCCTGCCCTGTCCCTGACCCGTTTTCCCCCCACAGCCGCACACCCGGGAACTGCCAGAACTCAGCGAGCGAGGTGGATCTGCTGGGCCCCAACCAGAACGGCTCCGAGGGCCTGGCCCAGCTGGCCAGCACCAACGGGGCCAAGCCCGTGGAGGATTTCTCCAACATGGAATCCCAGAGCGTGCCCCTGGATGCCATGGAGCACGTGGGCATGGAGCCGCTGCAGTTCGACTACTCCGGCACGCAGGTCCCCGTGGACTCGGCCGCCGCCACCGTGGGGCTCTTTGACTACAACTCCCAGCAGCAGGTACAGAGCTGAGTCTTGAGACTGATCCCTGGTCCTGATCCTGATCCCTGGTTCTCATCCTGAGCCCTGATTCTGATCCTTGGTCCCTGAGCCCTCCCTGATCCCGATCCCTTCGCCCGTAGCCTTGAGCCCTGAGCCTGATCCTGATCCCTGAGCTTGATGTTTGATCCTGATCCTGAGCCCTGAACCCTGAGCCCTGATCGTGATCCCTGAGCTTGATGTTTGATCCTGATCCTGAGCCCTGATCCTCATCCTAAGCTCTGATCCCTGATCCTGATCCCCAAGTCCTGATCCCTGAGCCCTGATCCCTGATTCCTTTGCCCTGAGCCTTGATCCTGATCCCTGATCCCTTAGCCTTGATCTCTGAGCCCTGGTCTCTGATCCCTGATGCTGAGTCCTGAGCCCTGATGATCCCTGAGCCCTGATCCTGATCTCTCATCCCTGAGCCCTGATCCTGATCTCTCATCCCTGAGCCCTGATCCCTTATCCAGCCCTGTGGCCCCAAAGGGGTTGGTGTGGGTGGGATGAGCTCAGGATCCTGTCCTGGGAGAAGGGATGGAGGAAGGTTGGAGGTGTTGTCATTGTCTTCATGCTGTGTGTGTCCTCCCAGGGAGCCAAGAGCAGTTATTCCAGGCTTCCATGGCAGCTGGAATAACCAGAATTCCCCCAGCAGTTCCCACAGCTCTGCCCTCTCTGGTGATCCTGGCTGTCTCAAGGCATTGAAAAAGAGCTTTAAAGTAGCAAAAAGTGCTAAGAATCCCCCAAACAGCCACCCAGGAGCTCAGGCAATGACTGAGAGCCAACAGCTGCTCAGCCCAGCTGTGAGCCCTGCACTGGGCTTGGCTGAGCCCCACATTGGGTTTTGTTAAGCTCCACATTGCCCCTCCTGGTCCCTACATTGGACCCTGCTGAGCCCCACATTGGGCTTGGCTGAGCCCAGGTGTGAGCCCTGCACTGGGCTTTGCTGAGCTCCACACTGGGTTTTGTTAAGCCCCAAATTGGGCCCTCCTGGTCCCTGCATTGGGCCCTGCTGAGATGCATGTTGGGCCTGCCTGAGCCCAGCTGTGAGCCCTGCTGAGCTCCACCTTGGGCTTGGCTGAGCCCAGGTGTGAGCTCTGCTGAGCCCCACACTGAGCTTTACTGAGCCCCACACTGTGCATTGCTGAGCCCCACACTGTGCATTGCTGAGCCCCACACTGAGCTTTACTGAGCCCCACACTGTGCATTGCTGAGCCCCACACTGAGCTTTACTGAGCCCCACACTGTGCATTGCTGAGCCCCACACTGTGCATTGCTGAGCCCCACACTGAGCTTTACTGGGCCCCACACTGGGCCTTGCTGAACCCCACACTGTGCATTGCTGAACCCCACACTGTGCATTGCTGAGCCCCACACTGTGCATTGCTGAGCCCCACACTGTGCATTACTGAACCCCACACTGTGCATTGCTGAGCCCCACACTGAGCTTTACTGAGCCCCACACTGAGCTTTACTGAACCCCACATTGTGCTTTACTGAGCCCCACACTGAGCTTTACTGAACCCCACATTGTGCTTTACTGAGCCCCACACTGAGCTTTACTGAACCCCACATTGTGCTTTACTGAACCCCACACTGAGCTTTACTGAGCCCCACACTCAGCTTTACTGAGCCCCACACTGTGCATTGCTGAGCCCCACACTGAGCTTTACTGAACCCCACATTGTGCTTTACTGAGCCCCACATTGTGCTTTACTGAGCCCCACACTCAGCTTTGCTCAGCCAGAGCAGCCTGAGGCAATTACAAGTTCAAACTTCCTTCTCCCCGAGCCTGGTTTAAGCCCTAAGGGCAGAGTCCACTACTACAAACCTTTATCTGAGCCTGGCTTAGGTTTGTTTGACCTTTCTCCCACACAAGCCCAGACTCCCTTGGCTCCTGCTGAATGCTGGGCCTGGCTCCAGCAATCGACTCCTGCTCTGCTCCTGTTCTGCTCGTTTGGGTAATGATTGGAAACTTTATTGCTCTCCCTTTGCAAGTCTGATACCCCTCAGAGTGGAAGGGAATCCTTTGTTGGAGCTGATTGCAGAGATATATAACTCTCCCTGGCTTCCCTGAAATATCTGATTTTTTTAGCAGAAGAGCCTCTGGCACTGTGGAGTGAGGGAAAGCATTGCCAAGTTTGTGCTGAGTTATCACAGCCTTAAAAGCAATGTAAATATCTGGGTTGGAGCTCAATTGGCTGCTCTGTTCTACAGCATCTTTGGGAGGTTAATGATGGAAAATTTAATGATTAAACTAAATAGCTGCTGTAGAGTTCAAAAAGGAGAAAAAAGCAGATAGTTCCAAGCCTTTGTCTCGCTCTGGTGTAAGGCCTGGGATGCCAGAATTACCTCTAAACCAGCAAAGTTGAGTGTTTTTTAAAACATGAGGGCTCCACAAGTGAGCTGCTTATGGAGAAGCATTAGAGATGGGACTGGAGCAGCATTAGTGGGAAGCCTGGAATTTGCATTTTGTCAGGGTTTTCTATTTAAGTGAAGGCTCATTTACAAGTTTGAGGAGTTTTTATTTGTTTCCTTCAGCCTTTAAAAATTAGAATTTCAAATTTGGCATGTCTGGCACCTCCCTGGTGGAAATAAACCCTGCCAAAGGGAGGCAGAGCTGGGCAGGGTCCCTGTTTTGGGGGAGATGCAGTGAGGATTTCAGGCTGGTTTTGCATTTTTTATTTCATACCAAGAGGATGGGCACTGTCCATCTGGGGCTGATGTCACCTCAGTGTCACCAGCTGTCTGGGAATGATGGAGTCACTGAGCCTGGAAAACCCTCCCAGAGCATCCAATCCCAGCTGTGCCCCATCCCCACCCTGTCCCCAGCCCAGAGCACTCAGTGCCACCTCCAGGAATTGCTGGGGCACCTGCAGGGATGGGCACTGCAAACCTCCCTGGGCAGCCCCTGGCAAGGCCTGAGCCCCCTGTCCATGCAGAAATTTTCCCCCAATATGCAAAAATGGGATTTTAAGGGCATTCAGGGCTCCTTTTCTGTTGTTGGTATGAGAGGTTTGGAGCTGTGGGGAACAGGAAATGTTCCCTGCCAGAAGGGGCTGGGACAGGGACACCTCTGCTGCTGGGCTTGCATTGGATGGATATTCCCTTGTGGGAAAAGCCTTTGGGATTCTGGTGTTCAGGATCCAGAGATGAGGTGGGCAAAGAGCTGCAAGGACATCGAGTCCCAGCTGATCCCACCCTGTCCCCAGCCCAGAGCTCTGAGTGCCACCTCCAGGGATTGCTGGGGCACCTGCAGGGATGGGCACTGCAAAGCTCCCTGGGCAGCCCCTGGCAAGGCCTGAGCCCCCTTTGCATGGGGAAATTGCTGCTGTGCCCACCCTGAGCCTGCCCTGGCCCAGCCTGAGGCCGTTCCCTCTGCTCCTGTCCCTGTTCCCTGGAGCACAGCCCGACCCCCCTGGCTGTGCCCTCCTGGCAGGAGCTGTGCAGAGCCACAAGGGCCCCTGAGCCTCCTTTGCTCCAGGCTGAGCCCCTGCCCAGCTCCCTCAGCCCCTCCTGGGGCTCCAGCCCTGTTCCCTGAGCTCCATGTCTGTGCTGTGAAGCCCAAATCCCCTCAGATCTTTCCCTGATTTTGGGGGAGCAGTGGGGACACAGCTGCTGCCCCTCAGTCCCACCCAGGCCCTGCTGGGCTGTCAGACAAATCTGTTATTTTCTGTTTTCACCCTTGCTGCAGCTTACACCTGTAGTGAAAGCAAACAGGAGCCTTTAGTCAGCCTGAGGTGCTGTAGTGAAGGTCAGGAATCACTCCCCAGCCAGATGTGCCCTCCCAGGGCAGGTTTGTGTAAATCCAGGGGTTTGTGCCCATTCCCTTAATTCCCAGGGGTCCTTGCTGCCCACTGCTACTCTCAGCCTGCATGAAAGGAATCTGACTTCTGCCGTTGTGTTGGCAGCAGGAAATCTGTCCTGAACAAGGGATCTCATCCCTGAAAGTGCCTTTTGGGGCTGTGGGGAAGTGTCCCATCCTTGGAAGGGATTACAGGTGAGCACAGCTGCAGGCAGTGTGAGGAAGAGGAAGGTTTTACCCACGTCCGATCTGATTAGGGATGTCAGGTGTTGATATTGCTGAGGGAAATCTGATCTTCCAGAATTCCCCTAACTCTGGGGTTCTGCTCCCTTGGAATTCCCTCAGTGAGCTCCTCCACGTGCTGGAAATCATCCTACATTTGTCTGACATGGAGCAGCCTCACTGAAATGTTGGATGATCTCCCTGAACTCCAGATCCGTGTCAGGGCTTTGTAGCTTTTCATTCCCAATGCATTTCCCAGCAGCCTGAAACACCCCAGGTGCTCTTTCCTGATTCCTTTGTCAATGCAGGTTAATATTCCAGTGCAGAGGTTCCTGTCCTGTTTGTGCTCCCCAGTGCCACCTTTGAGCACTGATCTCTGGGGTTGGAGTGTGGGGCTGTGCCCTCAGCAATGGAGACAGCACAGCAAGGCTTCAGCAGCTCTCCCTGAATAAATGGAATTGATGATTCCCAGAGCTCCCCTGGTTTATCTGCCTCAGGAGAGGCTGCACTTGGGATGGTTTTCTTGGCTCTGCTTCCTTGGACAGGCTGCAGGGTGAAATCTGCAGCTGAGATTGTTCTGAGGGAGCTGAGCAAGGCTGTGAATTCAAGGGGAGAGGGAGAGGTCACTGAATCCTGGAATGATTTGGGTGGGAAAGGATTCCAAAACTCATCCAGTTCCAACCCCTGCCATGGCAGGAACACCTTTCTCTGTCCCAGGCTACTCCAGCCTGGCCTTGGGCACTGCCAGGGCTCCAGGGGCAGCCACAGCTGCTCTGGCCACCCTGGCACAGCCCAAACCTCTCTAACCAGCCCTTGCCAGCCTACAAACCCCCTGTGGCAAATGGCACTGGGGGCACCTGCAACCAGCCAGGAAATCATTCTTGCCTTTCCTTTCTCCATTTGCTGCAATGAGTTTTGGTGCTGGTTTCCATCCTTGATTGAGGAATGGGAATGCCAGAGTGGTTTGGGTGGGAAGGGATCTTCAATGGCAGCTGATTGCAGGGCAGGGCCACCTGCCACTGTGCCAGGTGCTGCCAGCCCCAATGTGCAGCCTGGCCTTGGGCACTGCCAGGGCTCCAGGGGCAGCCACAGCTGCTCTGGCAATTCCCTGCCCACTTCCCAGGGAGCAGTTCCTTCACAAGATCCCATCTAAATCCCTCCTCTCTTAGTGTAAGGCCATTTCCCCTTGTCCTGTGCTGTGAACTGTTCCTCTCCAGCTTTTTTACAGACCTTTTATGCCTGGAAGTCAAATTTTGCAGGGACTAGATGAGCCCCCAGAGCCGGCAGACAGCAAAAAAAAGCCAAGAGCAGCAGGTGAAATATTGATGGTGAAGTACTGAGGCTGTGCTAGGGTGTGGATTCCTTTCTCCCAGTTTTGCTGATTCCCAGGGGGTTCATTGAGTTGCATTTGGGAGATGTGCAAATCCTCACATGTGGAAAGTAAGCAGAAGTGTTTTTAGGGAGGAAAAATGCTTTTTTTTGCCCTCAAGACAAGGAAATTATAATGCAACCATTTCCTCTTTGCTTCACTGTGATGGAATCCTCATCAGCAGGCTGGAAAAGCATGTGAGAACTCAAAGGTTTGGTGAAATTTTGCAGCTGAAGAAAGCTAAAAAGCTGAAATTGCTGAGGTGATACAGCACACCCCAACTCAGAGGATGCTGCAGAGGAATCCACACTTCAGGAGGAAGCAGTTTAGGGTTGTAGGATTTTTATAGGATTTTTTTTCATATTTGCTGAGAGTATAGGATGTTGCTGGTCACTCCCACAGAGCCACTGCCCCTCATTCCATGTTCTGCTGCTCCTGTTGTCCATCACCTCCTTGCTGTTTTGCACTCAGGGGTGTTCACAGAATTCCCAGAATCACTGGGATGGAGGAGACCTTCAAGATCATCGAGTCCAACCCAGCCCCAACACCTCAACTCAACCCTGGCACCCAGTGCCACATCCAGGCTTTGTTAAACACCCCCAGGGATCGTGACTCCACCACCTCCCTGGGCTGCTGAAGCTCAGGGTTCCAGAGTCTCTCCTCTCTCCTCACAGATCCTCAAGATCAGATTAAAATGTGTGGGTGCACAGGGATGTCAGCACAAAACCTGTGGGTGCATCACAAATCACAGAATTCCAGGATGGTTTGGGTTGGAAGGGCCGCCTCACTACCTGTGAGGCTACCTGGGCATGGCCTGGAAAAAACCTGGAAATTTCCCTTTCCATCTGGTATTAGAGATGTTTGAACTGAAACTTCCCCTTCACAGAATATTCCCAGAATCACTGGGTTGGAAGAGACCTCCAAGGTGATCGAGTCCATCCCAGCCCCAACACCTCAACTCAGCCCTGGCACCCAGTGCCACATCCAGGCTTTGTTAAACACACCCAGGGACGGTGACTCCACCACCTCCCCGGGCAGGACATTCCAGAACTTTATCACCCTTTCTGTGAAAATCCTTTTCCTGCTATCCAACCTGTATTTCCCTTGGGGCAGCTCGAGGCTGTGTGCTCTGGTTCTGTCAGTGCCTGCAGACAGAGCCCAGCCCCAGCTGAGCACAGGCACCTTTCAGGAGCTGCAGAGAGTGATGGGGGCACCCCTGAGTCTCCTTTTCTCCAGGCTGAGCACCCCCAGCTCCCTCAGGGCTTCCTCACAGGGTTTGTGCCCCAAGATGTCAGTGGAGCTTTGCTCAAGCTCCTGGTGACCTGAGCAGAGCTGCCACCCAGCTTTGTGTGACTACAAAAAACACCTTAAAACAACCAAAAGGGCAGGAAAAGCAGGTGTGCTGTGCACCCAGCCTGCTCAGGGTGTTTTATGGCCCAGGAGGCAATAAAGGAACTGTAGATCAGATATTTTCCTCCACAAGGAACGTTCTGATAGCCCCTGAGGGATGAGCAAACAAAGCAGTTGTGAGGGGGAGGGTTTGGCACACAACAGGTTAATTCTGGCTGCCCTAACTGCTGCATTTCCACCTCATAAACCCAATGCTGATCCCTCAGATGTGTTTTCTCCATCTGAACTTGTAAAAAGACAAAAATAAAGGTGGATTTTCTCACACAGCTTTGCTCACCCTGCTCTCAGGAGAAGCAATGCCAATTTTTGCCTCTAAATAAAATAAGTAGTAGAGTTTTCTTGATGTTTCTGGGCTTCTTCTTGATGGTTGTGGGTTTCTGCCAAAATTTTGGGCAGAATTATTGCTGTGTCTGCCAGCAGTTCACTTTTCTGAAAGGAGGGCAGGATAATAGGTGTGAAAATCGGAGGCATTTGGGCATCCAAGTCTGTTCTGAGGGAGTGGAGGGAGAAAACATTTCTCACAGTGCTCTGTGAAGTCATTCCCACCTAGAAATGATGCCTGGAACTGAGGGGGGATGGACATGATGGATAATTTCAGAGGAGATATTCAGCTGATGTGTCCTAAATGTTTTAATTAGAGCTGAAGATGGTGAATTCAGGGATTTCCTTTAGAGAGAGGCAAAAGAAGCTGGGAAGGAAACTTTTAATAAGGCCCTGAAGAAAGAAAAATAAACCCCAGATCCTCAGCAAAAACACTTCAAGGGAATCCTATAATTTTTATTTAGTGAGAAATAAATTCTCAATAACCTTGAGCAGTGAGCAGGTAAGGGAAGTGTTTGTCTGGGATTTGTGATCCTGTGGCTGTGTCCCCTCTCTGGCTCTGAGGGCATTTTGGGTTTCCCAAACTTGGCTCTGCATCCCTTGGCCATCCCCTTTCAATCCCATTTCCCACATCAGCCAAACTGGGAGGGCGCACTGGTGGCACTGGTGGCACTCCCAACACCTGGCAGTGCTCCTGGGGACCCCCAGGCTGCAGCTGGGGCTGAGCAGGGCTGGGATAAACCCTTTGGGATTGAGGGGACGGCAGAGGGAGAAGCTGGGCTGGGGCTGGCTGTGCTGCAGCAGGGTGGGGTTTGTCAGCTGGGTTAGCACAGGCATTGGTTCCAGAGGAGTTCAGGTCCTTGGAGGTGTGGAGTGGAGAATCTGTGGGGTTAAAGGAAATGTGGTGGGAAGGGATTGCTGGAAAAGGAAGGAGTTGCTGCTTTTTGTGTCTGACTTCAGCACTGTTGGTGTGTTTGTGCCCAGTTCAGCACTGTTGGTGTGTTTGTGTATGTGTTCAGCACTGTTGGTGTGTTTGTGTGTGAGCTCAGCAGTGTTGGTGTGTTTGTGTGTGAGCTCAGCACTGTTGGTGTGTTTGTGTGTGAGCTCAGCACTGTTGGTGTGTTTGTGTATGTGTTCAGCACTGTTGGTGTGTTTGTGTGTGAGCTCAGCACTGTTGGTGTGTTTGTGTGTGAGCTCAGCACTGTTGGTGTGTTTGTGTGTGTGTTCAGCACTGTTGGTGTGTTTGTGTGTGAGCTCAGCACTGTTGGTGTGTTTGTGTCACAGTTCAGCAGTGTTGGTGTGTTTGTGTGTGAGCTCAGCACTGTTGGTGTGTTTGTGTGTGTGTTCAGCACTGTTGGTGTGTTTGTGTGTGAGCTCAGCACTGTTGGTGTGTTTGTGTATGTGTTCAGCACTGTTGGTGTGTTTGTGTCACAGTTCAGCACTGTTGGTGTGTTTGTGTCACAGTTCAGCAGTGCTGGTGTGTTTGTGTGTGAGCTCAGCAGTGTTGGTGTGTTTGTGTCACAGTTCAGCACTGTTGGTGTGTTTGTGTGTGAGCTCAGCAGTGTTGGTGTGTTTGTGTCACAGTTCAGCAGTGCTGGTGTGTTTGTGTGTGAGCTCAGCAGTGTTGGTGTGTTTGTGTCACAGTTCAGCACTGTTGGTGTGTTTGTGTCACAGTTCAGCAGTGCTGGTGTGTTTGTGCCAGATTTCAGGAGGCTCTTTGTGTTTTGTGTCTGATTTCAGGACAGTGTGTGTGTTTCTGTGACTGAGTTAAGGAGTGTTGGTGTGTTTGTGCCTGATTTCAGGAGGGTTGTGCCTGCTTTAAGGGAGTTTTGTGTATTTGTGCCCAGTTTAAGGACATTGTTGTGTTTTGTGCCTGATTTAAGAACACTGTTTGTGCTCCTTGCCTGATTAAGGGCTGTTTGTGCCCACTTTCAGGCCTGTTTGTGCCCAGTTTCAGGGCTATTTGTGCCTGGTTTCAGGCCTGTTTGTGCCCACTTTAAGGGTTATTTGTGCCCACTTTCAGGGCTGTTTGTGCCCGGTTTCAGGGCTGTTTGTGCCCAGTTTCAAGGCTGTTTGTGCCCGGTTTCAGGGCTGTTTGTGCCCAGTTTCAGGGCTGTTTGTGCCCGGTTTCAGGGCTGTTTGTGCCCACTTTCAGGGCTGTTTGTGCCCGGTTTCAGGGCTGTTTGTGCCCAGTTTCAAGGGCTGTTTGTGCCCACTTCAAGGGCTGTTTGTGCTCTCCCCACAGCTGTTCCAGAGGCCCAATGCACTGGCAGTGCAGCAGCTGACAGCAGCCCAGCAGCAGCAGTACGCCCTGGCTGCTGCCCACCAGCCACACATAGGTGAGTCTGCCTCTCCCCAGCCCTCCTCCTGATCCATGGGGAAACTCCAGGGAAAAGATTGGGAGGGTTTAAAATGTATTTTACAGCTGATAATCAATGCATGAACAGAAGTACATTTTTACAGATTGCTTGTGGGTGTCTCTTGCACACTTAGAAGCCTTTTAAAGAATTTCCCTGTGTGGCAGAACTGACACTCTCACCCTCCTGAGGGTGCTGTCAGTCAGGAGAAGCTTTGGAAGTCTCTGAGTGAAGCATAAATCAGGGTGACACACAGAGAAGTGAGGGGAAATGCACAATTTAATATCAGCTGAATGTGCTGCCAGGGGTCTTAGGAGTTGAAAATGTAATTTATGCAAATACATGATTGATATTAATAAAAATTATTCATAAAATATATACTTATATATACACACATACATATATATATATTTTATTATTAACTGGGAATAAAGCACTTAATCATGTGTAGAAACCCAGGAAAACAGTGCATTACTTTTTTTAGCACAATAAGCAATTGGTGGTAGTTTTTCCTGCCCAAAACCCCAGTATAAATGTGTTGGGGCTCTGTGCTGTGCCCTTGTGTGCTCAGTGCAGTTCAGGGATTGAAATTATTCAGCTTTTTTACTTCCTCCCCTTCACCTTCACCTCCCCTGCACACCCCTCTCCCACCCACCTGGCCTTTCTCTAATGATTAAACTGTTTTTCCTCTCTGAGCCCTTTCCAGACTGACCAGTTGGAATGCTGGGATGCTGTGGGAGCTCAGGATGGGGTGGTTTGGGCCCTGATTTACTCACTGTAGGAAATACAGAGTAGCAGCAAGCTCCAGGGTCCTGAACAGGGGCTGTCTGCCCTGCAGAAGCACCTGAGCTGTTGGATATAAAGGATTTTACTTCTTAAGCAGCATTGAATCCTTGGAATTGGGGTTTTTAATGCCAGATCTCTCCTCTCCCCATCAGCACTCACTGGTTGTCATCTCTATAGAAAACCACCCACAAAAAGCTTCAAACCACGAAACCAGCCTGAGTTTGGTGCTGTCCAGGCAGCACAGGGGGGTTGTGCTGGGGCTGCAGTCCTGTTGAGTTTGTTTTCACTGACAGGAATGTTTTCAGCAGGTTTAGCTCCTGCTGCCTTCGTTCCCAACCCGTACATCATCAGCGCGGCGCCTCCGGGGACGGATCCGTACGCGGCCGGGCTGGCGGCGGCTGCCACGTTAGGTGAGAGCTCCCAGCTCCCTCTGCATCCCCAGCCCTCCCTGCTCTGCCTCTGCAGGGCAAACAGCAGCATCCTGGGCTGGGAGAGCTGGTATCATGGTGTGGCTGTGAGTAAAACCGGAATTTATTTTGTTAAAACTGGAGATGAAACGGGATAATTTTTGTTCAAAGCTCCCAGAGCAAATGGGAAGGGAACAGACACCGATATTGCTCCGTTTTTGGGGTGTTTTGGTGACAGGGAAAACCTCTGAAACTAACCCAGCAGAGAAAACCTCTGAAAACAGGTTTCTGAAAGTCTGGAAAGATGCAGGATGTGTGTCCTGCCAGGAAAGTTGTGTCTCCTGTTCAGCTTGTGGTGCATCCTGCAAACGAGCTCTTCCCTGAAATTCTGCTGGGAATTTCCACTTCCCAAGAGATGAACACATCCATTTCTGCTGGGGCTCCCAGAGCAAATGGGAATGGAACAGACACAAATACTGCTCCATTTTTGGGGTGTTTTAGTGACTGACAGTTGCAAGGAAAATCTCGGGAAAACAAACATTGAAAGGCTACAAAGATGCAGGATGTGTGTCCTGCCAGGAAAGTTGTGTCTCCTTTCTGTTCAGGTTCTGGTTCATCCTGCAAAGGAGCTCTTCCCTGAAATTCTGCTGGGAATTTCCACTTTCCAGGAGGTGAACACATCCAGATCTGCTGGGGCTCCCAGAGCAAATGGGAAGGGAACAGACACAAATACCGCTCCATTTTTGGGGTGTTTTAGTGACTGACAGTAGCAGAGAAAACTCTGAAAACAGATTTCTGAAAGGCTGGAAAGATGCAGGATGTGTTTCATGCCAGGAAAGTTGTGTCTCCTTTCTGTTCAGCTTCTGATGCACCATGCAAATGAGCTCTTCCCTGAAATTCTGCTGGGAATTTCCACTTCCCAAGAGATGAACACATCCAGATCTGCTGGGGCTCCCAGAGCAAATGGGAATGGAACAGACACAAATACTGCTCCATTTTTGGGGTGTTTTAGTGACTGACAGTAACAGTGAAAACCTCTGAAAACAAACTTTGGAAAGGCTGGAAAGATGCAGGATGTGTTCAGCTTGTGGTGCATCCTGCAAAGGAGCTCTTCCCTGAAATTCTGGGAATTTCCACTTCCCAAGAGATGAACACATCCATTTCTGCTGGGGCTCACGCTGGGACTGTGCCCTTTCCCAGATGGCAGCAAAGATGGAGCCTCTGCTCTTTCTGCAGGATCCTCCTCCAGCCATTCATGTATCAGTTCCCAAATCCCTCCCAGCTGTCACAGCCAGAGCTGCTGGTTCTGGAGGTGCCAGCTCTGTGTCACAGCGTGTCAGGCACTGTGGGGGACACGGTGAGCGTGGAACTGCTGCTGGGGGGGGCAGAAAGTTCTGGCCCAAGCACTGGGAACAAAGCAGGAATGTGCTTGTGGGAGAGGATTTTCAAAGGAGGAGCATGATTTTAGGAAGAGCATGATTTTTAGAGGAAGAACATGATTTTAGGAGAGGATTTTCAAAGGAGGATCATTTTAGGAGAGGGTTTTCAAAGGAGTAACTTAATTTTAGGAGAGGATTTTTAGAGGAAGAACATGCTTCTTGGAGGGGAATTTTAAACAAAGAACGTGATTTTAGGACAGGATTTTCAAAGGAAGAGCATGATTTTAGGATTGGATTTTTAGAGGAAGAACATGATTTTAGGACAGGATTTTCAAAGGAAGAACATTTTAAGAGAGGATTTTTAGAGGAATTTTTGAGGGGATTTTTAAAGGAAGAACCTGATTTTAGGAGAGGATTTTTAAAAGAAGAGTGTGCTTGTAGGAGAGGATTTTTAAAGGAAGAACATGATTTTAGGAAAGGATCTTTTAGAGGAAGAACATGATTTTAGGAGAGGATTTTTAAAGGAAGAACATGATTTTAGGAGAGGATTTTCAAAGGAAGAACATTTTAGGTGAGGATTTTTAGAGGAATTTTGGGAGCGGATTTTTAAAGGAAGAACATGATTTTAGGAGAGGATTTTTAAAGGAAGAACATGATTTTAGGAGAGGATTTTCAAAGGAAGAACATTATTTTAGGAGAGGATTTTCAAAGGAGGAACATTTTAGGAGAGGATTTTTAGAGGAATTTTGGGAGGGGATTTTTAAAGGGAGAGCATGATTTTAGGTGAGGATTTTTAAAGGAAGAACATTATTTTAGATGAGGATTTTTAAAGGAAGAACATTATTTTAGGAGAGGATTTTTAGAGGAAGAACATTATTTTAGGAGAGCATTTTCAAAGGAGGAACATTTTAGAAGAGGATTTTTAGAGGAATTTTTGAGGGGATTTTTAAAGGAAGAACCTGATTTTAGGAGAGGATTTTCAAAGGAAGAGCATTTTAGGAGAGGATTTTTAAAGGAAGAACATTATTTTAGGAGAGGATTTTTAGAGGAAGAACATTATTTTAGGAGAGGATTTTCAAAGGAGGAACATTTTAGAAGAGGATTTTTAGAGGAATTTTGGGAGGGGATTTTTAAAGGGAGAGCATGATTTTAGGAGAGGATTTTTAGAGGAAGAACATGATTTTAGGAGAAGATTTTTAAAGGAAGAGTGTGCTTTTAGAGGAGGATTTTTCTCACCATGCCTGGCTTTCCTTGAGCAGGGCAGAGGGGATGTTGTGTGCTGCAATGAGCACTGCTCTGGTTGGGTTGGGTGTTTGTGGGGGCTCTCACTGCTGCCACGCTCCGCTTACAGCTTGTAAACTCACTTCAGTCCTCTGGGTTTGGGTGGCTTGTCCCAGATCAAACCCAGATCTGTGCTGTGTGGGGATGTGACACTCTGTGGTTTGTGACACAGCTTTGGTCCAGCTCTTCCCAAACCCCTGCTGAGCTTTTCAGCTTTGAGGCCACCGTGGGGTCAGCTCTAAAACAGGAATTCAGTGACTGCTGCCCACTTGGATGGAGGTTTTAGTGCATCATGCAGATGTGTGTGAAGAGTTTGGGTTATAATCTGGAGTTCCATGCTGGGATTGTGCAATGCCATGGGGACATTGGGTGGAGGCAGCACCAGCCTTGGCAGAGGGTGCTGCCGTGTTCTGTGGGACAGAGCCAAGGGCAGGGACACAAGGACATGGCTGATAACCCTGTGGGGTGGTGAATGGAGCAGGCAGTGAATGGGCTGAGCTGCTGCTGCCCAGTGCAGTCAGGAGGAGCTCCAGGGCTCCGTTCCAGGCAGAGGAGGAGATTTGTGAATGATTCCTGTACAGAGAGGCTCCAGCTTGGCCTTTCTGCATCACCCCAGGGCCCCCAGAGCTCCTTCCTGGGCAGCAGCAGAGTGCAGAGAGCAGCAGGTCAGCAGCTTGATTTCATAGAAACACCACATGGAACTGGGCCACGTTTCCAGGAAATACCAAGTGTTGGCCACAAGGTTTTTTCTTTTCTCAGCTGTACTGAAGCTGAGCTGCCTGAGCTTTTATAGCCTTCAACCAGGAGAAAACCCCATCTAGGCTGTGCTTAACTTGGGTTTTAGACATTTGAACTGAAAATTATCCAAGGAATAGCTAAAGCAATAGGTATTAATAACCTCAGGAATACCTAAAGCTTCCCAAACTTGGCATCAGGGCCTCTACTTGGAGTAATTCTAAATTTATGATTCTTAAAAGAAACCAAACAATGTGTCATGTACTGGGTGTATTTATGGTGTTACACCACTGAGAAAAGGAGTTATTTTAACCCCCTCATCACCCTAGAAATGACAAGATAAACTCCATGCTGATGTTTATTTCAGAAAAGCATCTTTCCTGTCTGGGCCTGAGCAGGTTTGAGAACCCTTTTTTTTTTCTGTCATGGCTGACAGCAGCACTGGAGGAACAGGAGACAATTTAAATGTTTATACAAAGCCAAAAAGCCTCCTTGATGTGCCTGGGAGTGTTAAATTGGGAGAACTTGGAGGAGCTTCTGAGATGGAGGAAATGAATTTGGAGTTTATTGCTCCCAGTTCCTCTCAGAGCACAGAGGAGACTTTGGTGTGTGTTTTATGGCAGAGATAATCTGTCAGTTAAAGTTCTGCCATTATGGCAGGTTTGTCATGATTGTGAGACTGGCAGCTCCAGGATAATGCTCTTCTCTTCCCAACAATAGCAGCATTTTAAAGAACAAATTTGAATGCAGAGAGAAGAACTTCCTAAAAAAACCCTTCTCATTTAGATTTTAAACTGTGGGGAAGATACTGCTGCCTTTGAATTGCCTTCCATCATTTGAGAAGGATGTCACTCAGAAAACTGAAAACTTGTCTTTTTTAGGCCAGTTGGGAAATGATTCCCTCTGGGGTGGAGTGTTGCAGGGAGAAAAGTGTTCCTGTTCTTTGTGGGGAGGTGGATGAATGCTGGGATAACAATGCTGGGATAACCTGGATGCAGGGAAAGCAGAGCCTTCCACAGCAGTTCTGGGGTTTTTGGCACTGGGGGTAGGAAATGATTCCCTCTGAGGTGAGGGATTCAAGATAGAAAAGTGTTCCTGTTCTTTGTGGGCAGGTGGATGAATGTTGGGATAACCTGGATACAGGAAAGCCCCACAGCAGGTTGTGGGGTTTTCAGCCTTGGAGTTGGAAATCATTCCCTCTGAGGTGGAGTCAAAGTGTTCTGTTCTCTGTGAGGAGGTGGGTGAATGCTGGGGTGACCTGGTCACAGGAGAAGCAGAGGCTCCCACAGCTGAAGTTTTCAGACTTGAGGGTAGGAAATGATTCCCTCTGAGGTGGAGTCAAAGTGTTCCTGTTCTTTGTGGAGAGGTGGATGAATGCTGGGATAGCCTGGATGCAGGGAAAGCAGAGGCTCCCACTGCAGTTCTGGGGTTTTTCAGCCTGGGTAGAAGGATCAGGCCCTTGGTGCTGAGCTGGAGCAGGTGTGGCTGTGGGCACACCCTGCCAGGACTGGCATTTGGGAGCCCCTGCAGCTGGGTCTGTGCTGGGTACTGAGCAGTGCCAGCCTGGGCAGGGCTGGGGCAGCAGCTCTGGAATCAGCTGCTCACTGCCACCCCTAGAGCAGCACAGACCAGTGGGAATTTGAAGGGATCAGCCCACAGACCCCTGGAATTCCACAGGGATCACCCTACAGGTCAGTGGGAATTCCACAGGAATCACCCCTCAGATCACTGGGAATTCCATGGGATCACCCCACAGATCACTGGGAGTTCCACAGGGATCACCCCACAGATCAGTGGGAATTTGAAGGGATCACCCCACAGATCACTGGGAATTCCAGGGGATCACCTCACAGATCACTGGGAATTACATAAGGATCACTCCACAGATCAGTGGGAAGTCCAAGGGATCACCCCACAGATCAGTGGAGATTCCACAGAGATCACCCCACAGATCCCTGGGAATTCTGAAGAAATCACCCCACAAATTAGTGGGATTTTTAAAGGGATCACCCCCCAGATCCCTGGGAATTCCTCAGGGATCACCCCACAGATCATCGGCAGTTCTACAGGGATCACCCCACAGACCCCTGGGCTTGCTGCCTGCAGCCTCTCTGAGCTCCTGGGGCAGCTGGATTTGCTGTCACTGCTGTCACTGCTGTCACTGCTGCTCAGCCTGGCTGCCCTGCAGGAGAGGCTGGGCTGGGCAGGCTGAGATGGAAGCACACCCCCTGAGTGCTCTCACACATCTCACTGATGCTCTGAGCACGTTCCCAGCTGGATTTGCTGCTGTTCCCTGCCAGGAGCAGCTCTGTGTGTGACACAGCATGGGCAATATTCAATATTCACCTCCAGAAGTGCTGGAATTTCTCTTTTCCCAGGAATGCCCAGCTCTGATGAGAGCAGAGCAGCATCTCCTGGAGCGGGGGGAGCAGCTCTGGGTGCTGCTGGCTCTGGCAGTGATGCCACACTTGCCCTCACTGAGAACTCTGTTCAATAATGAGCCTCTCTCTGTGCTCGGAGCAGCTGAGCCAGACCCGCAGCCCTTTCAAACCCAGCTGCTGCAACCTTCAAAGCCTCCTCTGCTTTTGTGCACCCAAGGCTTTGGCAGCAGCCTCTGCCTAGGAGAAAAGCCCATCTAGGCTGTGCTTGGTTGATAATTAGAGCTGAGACTAATACATCCCAGAGAGATGCCCAAATTTTGCCCAGATGAAGGGATTGCAGCAGCCTGAGGGCACGTGCAGGTTAATGACTTGCATTAAAAGGGAGCAGTTGCAGCTCTTGCCCTGTTGCGTGCAGGAGAACCCTGGGAGTTGGGCTCTGATGTGCATTCAGTGATTATAAACAGGTTAAAATCACTCCCTGCCTTCTGTCTGTGCCTGCTGAGGCACCACAGGCACCACCTTTGTGGCACTGTTCATTTGTTGCAGGTTTTTTTCCATTTTAGCTGGCACTGCTCATGAATTTCCAGGGTGGAAGGTAAGAAATGAGTGGTTGCTGCTGCAGATCTGAGTAGGAGAAGCAGATCAGCCTCTCTGATTCTGTAAATCCAGCAAGGATGGGCTTTGGGGTGAGACACAAATCCAGGTGTTCAGCATCTGCCTGGAATTAGCCAGCACCTCCTCTGTGCACAGAGCTGGGCACCTCAGTCCTAAATCTGGGGAAGGCACAGTAGTTAAAACCAGAATAATGCAATGAGAGTAACTCTTACATGTGTGAAACATGAATTTAATATTTGGCACAAAGCATGGATGAATGTTCTGAAGTGTGGATGTGGGAGCAGGAGCTCATCCAGCTCCTTGGCATCCTGCAGGATTCAGCTGAGCCTGGTGCTGTAAAAATCAAAAAGAAAGGAACAAAAACCAAAAGGAAAAGGGACTTGAAGGATTTCCCCCATTGTCACAGCCAGGCTAACACTGAGCACTGCTTTCACCTCCCTTTTTGTGTCATCCCTCATTTTCCATGGAATCACAGATTTGGGCAGAACCCAAGTGCTGAGTGTCTCTCTTCAAAAATAAAAAATCCTCTTTTTACTGCAGACATGACCAGGGTTCTCTAAAGATTTGTTTGTTCCAGTGTCACACCTGACCTGGCTGTGCCTGAGCTATTCCTGCTGTGGGGAGGGAGCCCTGGAATGGGGATGTATTTGGGAATCGAAGGGAACACTTCTGCTTTCTGCTGACCTTTCCCAAAGATATCAAACAATCATATTAAAAATATTATTGGATTCCCATCTGTGTTATTGGGAGGGAAGGGCTCCTCCCTCCAGCTCTGAGAGCCTCCTCAGCATTATTCTAACTGGGATTATTTAAGGAGAGAGGTTGCCATTCTGCTATCTCCAAATTTCTGTGCTGTCGTGAGACCTGGTAAACACAAGGAATCTTCAAAAGTGAGGCTTTTTCTGCTGCTCTCCAGGATCATTATTATTATCATTACTATTTTTATTTTTAAGCCTCTTAAGTTTGAGGAGGGGATGTGAAGTTTGAGGAGGGAATGTGGGAAGGGACAGGATGGTGCAGCCTCTTTTAGGGTAGATTTGCAAATGCAAAGCAGGGCTGGAAAAAGCATTTTAATACTTGAGGGTTGATGCACTCCAGCTGTGAGGAGGGTTTGGTAATTTGTTGAGGAGCTGAAGGTGGATGGCAGTGAGCTGTGAATGTCAGCTGGGATGAGAAGTTATCTCTGTGCTTCAAACAAGGTTCCTCTGTTGGGATTGGAGATTTTTGTTCCTTCTCTGTAAAACCAGGATACGCCAATAAAAGCATGGAATCACTGCTGGCAGAGTTTGACCTGGTGCAGTGATGAAATTCCAGGTCGGACTTGAAACTTCATAAAATGTGTGCCCCAAATGCCAAATCCCTCTGTGTTTGCAGAGGGTTTCACCCAGATCCCCTGAAACCAGGCACGATGAGCAGTGTTTTTGGGGTGCCCCTTGCCCCCCCAGGAGCTCACCCTGCCCTGCTGTGTTCCAGGTCCAGCTGTGGTGCCTCACCAGTACTATGGAGTCACTCCCTGGGGAGTTTATCCTGCCAGCCTCTTCCAGCAGCAGGCGGCCGCCGCCGCCGCCGCCACCAACTCGGCCAGCCAGCAGAGCACGCAGCAAACGCAGCAGGGCCAGCAGCAGGTAAGGCTGGCACCTCCTGGCACCTCCTGGGCAGGGACACCTGGGCTCTGCGTGGGGAGTGACCCGAGGGATGGGGGATTGCAGCCCCTGGCCCTGCACAGAGCCCCAGCAATCCCAGCCTGGGCATCCCTGGGAACGCTGTCCAAACTCTGCAGCCTCTGGGCCATCTGTGCCCATGCCCATGTCCATGCCCATTCCCATTTGCATTCCCATTTGCATTCCCATGCCCATTCCTGTGCCCCTTTCCATTCCCATACCCATTCCCATGCCCCTATTCTTGTGCCCATTCCCATTCCTGTGGCCTTTTCCATGCCCATTTCCATTCCCATGCCCATTTCCATTGCCATGCCCATTCCCGTGCCCATTTCCGTTGCCATGCCCATTCCCGTGCCCATTTCCATTGCCATGCCCATTCCCATGCCCCCATTCCCATGCCCATTCCTATTCCTATGCCCCTTTCCATTCCCATGCCCACTCCCATGCCCGTTCCCATGCCCACTCCCATGCCCATTTCCGTGCCCATTCCCATGCTCATTTCCATGCCCATTCCCATTCCCATTTGCATTTCCATTCCCATACCTATTCCCATGCCCCCATTCCCATGCCCATTCCTGTGCCCCTTTCCATTCCTGTGCCCATGCCCATGCCCCTATTCTTGTGCCCATTCCCATTCCTGTGGCCCTTTCCATGCCCATTTCCATTCCCATGTCTCTTTCCATTCCCGTGCCCATTTCCATTGCCATGCCCATTCCCATGCCCCCATTCCCATGCCTGTTCCTGTGCCCCTTTCCATTCCCACTCCCATTCCCATGCCCATTCCCTCTGGGGAGCAGTATCAGGGGGAATTTCTTCCCAGGAAGGCTGCTGGGTCAGTGTTAGGGGTTTCCCACTGGAGTGAAGTCCCTGTACCTGGAGGTGTTTAAGGAGAGCCTGGGTGTCACTTTGTCACTCAGTGCCATGGTCTGGGTGGCAGGGTGATGCCAGCTCACAGGCTGGACTCAGTGATCTCAAAGGTCTTCTCCAGCCCAGCTGATTCTGTGGAAAACCCAACCCCAGCCTCCCCTGACACAGCTGCAGCCATTCAAAACCCTGATGTTTTCCATCACTGATCCTGACCTCAGCTCTGGGTAGTTTTAAATGTGCAGAAAACAAAACCGTTTGGCCTCTCCTAAAGACAAAGGGACAGGAACCACCTGTACATTTGTAATTTGATTTATCCATCATGCCCATGGAGAGTGGCACATGAACATGGGTGGTGATGAATTATTGTCAGTGCTCTGGGGAACACCAGTGGTCAGGCTGGAAGGGCCTGAGCTGTGCAGCAGCAAACCCCTGGGGCTGGTGGTGTGTGAGGGGAATCACCAGGAGCCAGAGCTGGGCTTCAGTCCCCCCAGCAGCTCTCCAGTCTTGGTTATGGCAGAATAAAGAGCTACTGGCAGCTAAATTTCTCAGCTCAGAAGCTGAAAATCCTTTGAAAACCAAACCCCAGTGTCAGGAGGTGTTCTAAGGCCTTTACAGATGCAGCAGGCATGAGCTGAGAGGCTATTAAAATAAAATATCTCAGTGCCAGTGGCCTTTATGGGATGTTTCATTACTTTTATGGCCGTGGAGCAGGCGTGAGTGGGGTCAGGAGCGGGGTTTGGAATGCAAACCTTGCTCTGAGGGGATGCAGCAGGGATTGTTTGCATTAAAAGTGCTGAGGCGGAGACTTTGGGAACCTGGAGCACTGAGTGTGGACACTTGATTTGTCACCCTTGTGACATCTTAATAGTGTGTTAATAAACCCAGCAGCATTCCAGTGCTGCAGTCTGCACCCCCTGGAATTCTTGGCTCCCAGAGATTCCCTGGGCTGGAGGTTCCTGTCAGTGATGGAGAGAGCCAGGGAGACTGGTTCAGTGATCAGAATCTGATTTTATTGTGGGATACAAACATTTGGGTACCATTTTAGGGAGACTGGCAATGTGTATGCAGTGATTAGGTTAAAATCACACAAACTTACACATATAACATCTCTTACTTGCACAGTTTGTTGGGATTATCTTTTTCTGGTAAATCCATCTGATTGAATCTTCTTGCAATCCAGGTCTAATTTTCAAAGTTCGTTTGTTTTCACCAAGGCATCCTGTTATCAAATCTCTTCTGTCAGCCAGGTCCAAAGTCCATCATCTCTCTCGTGTCCCCCAACATTCCAGTGGCTTCCAGTGCAGGCTCTGGCAGGCTCGGGGGGCACCTCCCAGTCAGTGAAAATGGGGATCCTCCCCGGCTTCTCTGTGCACAGTTGGTGTTTCCTGTTAATAACTCCAGCAGGTGGTACCCAGGATGTCACCTCTGCAGCAGGATGTGCTGGGGACACGGGGCTGGCTCCTTTCATATGCTGAGCTTGCAGGTTCCTGCTCCAGCTCTGAGCGAGGCTCTGCCAAACCAGGCCTGGCCCAGGTCATTGCAGGGTGGCCACTCTGCCATTGTCCCTTCTGAGTGACACCACCACAGCAGCTCGTCCCTGCAAACCCCACTGTGGGCTCTGTGGTCGTGGTTTCCTGTGGTTTAAGTCTTGTGTCACCAGATCTCTGCCCTCTACAGGGACTGGTGGCTTGGGGACGCCCAGGTCACCTCCTGTCACCCACTCCCACCTCCTGAACTGGGCTGTGTAAGGTTTCTGCTCAGAGGGATTTTAGTGGGGCTGTGGTGGCAGGGGCCATGTGTTAGCTGGGATGGGCAGGTGGCTGGTGCACACTTCTGGCACAGGATGAGTGTGGGAGGTGGGATCAGGGAGTTGAAAGGTTGGAGATGCTCTCTAAAGATCATCAAGTCCAGCACTGACCCCTGATCCAGGCACCACTCTGTGTGTTCTGCACACTTCAGGGATGGGGACTCCACCACTCCCTGGGCACCCAAAGCCTGAGCACCCTTCAGTGAAGGAATTCTCCTGGTGCCCACCCTGAGCCTGCCCTGGCCCAGCCTGAGGCCGTTCCCTCTGCTCCTGTCCCTGTTCCCTGGAGCACAGCCCGACCCCCCCGGCTGTGCCCTCCTGGCAGGAGCTGTGCAGAGCCACAAGGGCCCCCTGAGCCTCCTTTGCTCCAGGCTGAGCCCCTGCCCAGCTCCCTCAGCCCCTCCTGGGGCTCCAGACCCTTCCCAGCCCCATTCCCAGCCCCTCCATGTCCTTTTTGAATGTGAAGAAAAGTGAAGTAAGAGCAAAGGAGAGAAGTTTCCCCCCTGGTGCTGCTCCTGCTCCTGCCTGGTGACAGTGGCAGTCTCCTGGCTCCAGAATAACCCAGTGGCTGTTGTGTCCTGTGCAGGTGCTCCGTGGAGGGGCCAGCCAGCGTCCCCTGACTCCCAACCAGAACCAGCAGGGCCAGCAGACGGATCCTCTGGTGGCCGCCGCCGCCGTCAACTCCGCGCTCGCCTTCGGCCAGGGGCTGGCAGCAGGAATGCCAGGTACCAGCACTGCCAGGCCAGGGGAGCCTGGGAAATGCCATCTGCCAGGGCTGCCCGTGCCTGGCACCAGCACTGCCTGCTTGTCTTGGTTTGGGGGTTCATTCTGGGGTTGGGTGTGTCCCCACTGGCAGCACTGAGGGCTCACAGGTGACAGCAGTGTTGTCTCCCTGTGCCTGCATTGTACTCCAAGAACTGATGGCTCCTGTGGAAAATCACCTCCAGATCTTTCTGTGGATCCTTCAAGCTTACGGGATCTGTATTTTAAACCTCAGAGGTTTCTTAGTCCATTCATTCATCTCAGTTCTACATCCCTGCCAGGTGCTTGACTTAACAGGGGTTTCCTTCCATGATTGCTCTTCCAAGAGGCTTAAAAACAGGGAAAGAAAAGGGATAAAAGGGAGCAGGGTTTAGTTCTCATTTCTAGCTCTTCACTGGAGGAGCTGCTGTAGGAATTGTGACTCTGATCCCTGAGGCTTTGGGGTAAAGTGCTGCTGAAATTCAGTTATCAGGATATTATTGTGATGGCAAAGGACAATCCTGAGCTCATTAGAATAATGTGCAGATATGTCCTGCTGGTCAAATGTAAGGAAAAAAGGATTATTTGGGTTTCAGGTCTCCTTGCTGACACTGTTACGTCATTGTTAATTCGTTTTTTAAATTTTATTCTTCAGAAGAATGTTGCAGTATTAAGTTACAAAGTGAATTGTGCAGATTTCCTTTAATCTCTGTTATTTAGGCTGTATTTGCAAAGCAAATATACACATATATACAATTATAGATATATGTTTGTACCTGCATTTGCAAAGCAAATATTTCCAGGGAACATTCTCTTAGTGACCTTCCACCTTAGACAGTCACTGCATTTAATTTTATTGTTTTCATTTAATGCAAATTCCCTAATGAGGTGCACAAATCACTGTATTCTGTCTGTCTGCTGCTGTGTGTATCAGCAGCATTTATGAGAGTTTATTTACATGCATTAAAGAATATTTTATGGTACCAACCTTCCAAAATACAGCAGTGGAAGTTCCCTGTGGGTGCACCCTGGCAGCCCCAGCTCTGAGCAATCCCAGCACATGTTGTACATATCATGGAGCAGAAATGAAACCCCTTTTTAGCTGAATTTGCAGTGGTTACAGTGTAATATAGAAGATTCAGGGGGCAAAAAGTCTTTTCTACCTGAAATTCTTAGTGTAACATTGTGGACATTGTTGGGGAAAGCAGGGGTGTTCTTGCTTCTTTTTTTTTTTCCATTCAGCTTTTCCTTTAAAAACCCTCTTGCACTGCTCTCCCCTGGACATGGCTGATGTGTTTGTCACCTGCCCTGTCACCTGTGCTTGCCTCTGCAGGTTACCCAGTGCTGGCTCCTGCTGCTTATTATGACCAAACAGGAGCCCTCGTGGTCAATGCCGGGGCCAGGAACGGCCTGGGGGCTCCCGTGCGCCTGGTGGCCCCTGCCCCTGTCATCATCAGCTCCTCTGCAGCCCAGGCAGGTGAGTCCTGTATCCCCCTGGGTCAGACAGGTGAGTCTTGTCCCCTCCTGCTCAGGCAGGTGAGTCTTGTCCCCCCAGTGGTTCAGGCAGGTGACTCCAGGTCCCTCCAAGTGCCTGCTGTGTCCCCAGTGTCCCCACCCCTCCGTGCTCCGCTGGCAGTGATGACAAACTTGCCCTCACTGAGATCCATCAGGGATTGTTGTTGAGAAACATCCTCTGTGCTCAACTTGGGCTGAGCCTCCGGAGAGCCACGGAGAGGGGCAGCAGCAGGAACCTGAATGATTTTCTAGGGTTTCATGGCAGGTATTTAAATTTGTCCCCTGGCACCAGCTTTCCAACCTGCTGGAGCCTTCAGAATTCCCAGTGGCTCCAGGGACAACTCAGAGTTCAGTTCTCTCCAGGAGAACTGGAGAGGGACTGGGGACAAGGATGGAGGGACAGGAGGCAGGGAATGGCTGCCAGTGCCAGAGGGCAGGGCTGGATGGGATCTTGGCAATTGGGAATTGTTCCCTGGCAGGGTGGGCAGGGGCTGGGCTGGAATTGCCAGAGCAGCTGTGGCTGCCCCTGGAGCCCTGGCAGTGCCCAAGGCCAGGCTGCACATTGGGGCTGGCAGCACCTGGCACAGTGGCAGGTGGCCCTGCCCTGCAATCAGCTGCCATTGAAGATCCCTTCCCACCCAAACCACTCTGGCATTCCCATTCCTCAATCAAGGATGGAAATCAGCACCAAAACCCATTGCAGCAAATGGAGAAAGGAAAGGAAAGAATGATTTCCTGGCTGGTTCCAGGTGCCCCCAGTGCCATTTGCCACAGGGGGTTTGTAGGCTGGCAAGGCCTGGTTAGAGAGGTTTGGGCTGTGCCAGGGTGCCCAGAGCAGCTGTGGCTGCCCCTGGAGCCTTGGCAGTGCCCAAGGCCAGGCTGGATGGGGTTTGGGGCACCCTGGTACAGTGAGAGGTGTCCCTGAGGTGGAACAGGATGAGTTTAAGGTCCTTTCCATCCCAAGCCATCCCAGGATTTATCCTTTATGACGCCACTGTACCTTAAATGGCCTTTGCCATGAGTGGCTTTGTCATTTATTTGGGTTCCTTGGGAGTTCAAGGCTTTTAAAAGGATTTTTCAATCTGTTGGTGTGAGCAGCCCCTGCCAGCACTGGGCTCAGATTATGAAATGGGCGTTTTAATTGTTTTCTCATAGCTCTTGTTTATTTTGCTTTTTCTTTAACTTTGGAACTGGCTGAAAACCAAAAGTCCTCGGGTTTGATGTTCTTGGCACCGAGGTTCATGTTTTATGTGCTGAAGGATAATTTCAATTATTTCAAAACTCTGGTTTCTTAACTGACCCTTGCAAGTGTGAGGCTGCACTGATTGGACTCTTGGGTCTTTGGAGAAAGAGCCATTCCTGGTTTTGATCTGTGCAGCTCCAACAGCACAAGAGCAGCAAGAACAGCTGGGCATGGCTGGAGTCTGGGGGCTGTGGGCAGCTCAGGTACAATAAACAGAGATTTATGCAGAGTTTTGTCCTGAAAGAAAAAAACTGTAGCAATTCAAAGCAACCTGCTAAGTTTGAACTTCCAGAACTGTGACGGTATTTGGAGAGGGAAGAGATGAGGATCTGATTCCATGTTTCAGAAGGCTGATTTATTATTTCATGATGTATATTATATTAAAATTATGCTAAAAAAATAGAAGAAATTATTTCATCAGAAGTCTGGCTAAGAATAGAATAGCAAAGAATGATAACAAAGGTTTGTGGCTCGGACAGAGAGTCCAAGCCAGCTGACTGTGATTGGCCATTAATTACAAACATCCAACATGGGCCAATCACAGATGCACCTGTTGCATTCCACAGCAGCAGATAATCAATGTTTACATTTTGTTCCTGAGGCCTCCCAGCTTCTCAGGAGGAAAAATCCTAAGGAAAGGATTTTCCATAAAAGATGTCTGCGACACAGAACTGTGAAGTAAATAGATTTTCTCAGTGGCTTTTCCATTTCTCTCCCATTTCTGTGTCCCACAGCCGTGGCGGCGGCCGCGGCGTCGGCCAACGGAGCGGCCGGGGGGCTGGCAGGGACCACCAACGGCCCCTTCCGGCCCCTGGGCACGCAGCAGCCGCAGCCCCAGCCCCAGCAGCAGCCCACCAACAACCTGGCCTCCAGCTCCTTCTACGGCAACAACTCCCTGAGCAGCAACTCGCAGAGCAGCTCGCTGTTCTCGCAGGGCTCGGCCCAGCCCGCCAACACCTCGCTGGGCTTCGGCAGCAGCAGCTCCCTGGGGGCCACGCTGGGCTCGGCCCTGGGCGGCTTCGGCACCGCAGGTGAGAGGAGCGGGGCTGTGCCAGCACTGCAGCCAGGGTGGGGACACATCAATAATGGGACAGGGCTGCTCTGCACACCTCTGTATTGGTATCACCAGTAGGGGGGACTGGATGTGCTTTGGCTTGTCTGGCTCTTGGTGCTGAACTAAACAGCAACACTGTGGTGTTTCACCCCACAGACACTTTGGGCTGCCTGGGTGTGTGGTGTTTCACCCCACAGACACTCTGGGCTGGCTGGGTGTGTGGTGTTTCACCCCACAGACACTTTGGGCTGGCTGGGTGTGTGGTGTTTCACCCCACAGACACTTTGGGCTGGCTGGGTGTGTGGTGTTTCTCCCCACAGACACTTTGGGCTGGCTGGGTGCTGCAGCTGGGCCCGTGGGGACAAGGCCAGGCCTGCAGGAGCTCTGGTGGTGCTGGGATGGAGCTTCCCCCCATAACAGGGGCTGCTCCTCAGGTTTCCCTCTGGCAGAGAAGCTTTGAGGCGATGGTGAAGGAAAGGAGTCGGTTCTGATGGAGGGGTTTGGATGCAGAGCTTTATTCTGGCCCACAGGCCTCTGAATGCAGCAGCAGCTCCAATAGAACTCCCTGAGCCCGTGGTTGCTGCTCCTTTGAACCCTGGGGAGAGGGGCAGGGAAGGGGCAGGGAGCCACCAAGCAGGGACAGGAGGGGAGGGACAAAGGGACAAAGGACACCTGGATGGCCCAATGCCCCCAGGGGTAGAGGGCATCCTTTGAATCTGCCCAATTCCCTTCTGGAATGCCAGGAGTGACAGACAGTGCTGGGAGGGGAAAGGAGAGGTGACTGACACACATGGGAGGGAATCTTCAGGGGAGGGACCCGGGGTTCTGAGGTAAACCCTGAAATCACACTGCAACACCCCTGCTTCCTCAGAGGCTGCAGGTTAAATTATTTGTTCCAAGAATGGAGCTTGGCACTGTAGCTAAGGGAACTTTATAAACAGGTTTCTGTGTGTTGGGTGTTTTACTGGTGGTACTGGTAGTGTTACCTTGCATGCTTTGGTGTGTGTGACAGATGATGGACAAAACTATCAAAGAAGTTTTTATCATACAAGAGAGAGAGATAGGAAATTGATTCACAGAGAGTTCTTGAAATCTTACAGAGATGGTGGATGAAGGTATAGACATGAAGGAAGGTTTGAATTAAGACCTTGGAACCAGTGAGACTTTTTTGAACAATGACTTGTAATTGCTGTCAGACATGACTTACTCCTTTTGAGCTGACTGGACTTTCACAGCATTAAAACTGCTGTGTTGTAATACAGCAATGCTTAATGTGAGCAAAAAGATCCTTTAAGCAAGTAATAAACAGATATATTCTAGTAAAGCTGTGAAACACAAAGTAGTTAATGAAGGACACAGTTACAAAGGTTTCTTTTTCATTGAACCGAGGGGGAAATGTTGGAATCACCAACAGGACAGGACTGCTGGGGAACACCTCTCGAGCTGTTGATTTTCCAGCATCAGCCCTATGACATGGTTATGGCAGTGGGAAGATGCCAGCAGCTCACATCTCCAGCAGCTCACATCCCACAGAACTCAATGTTACAGCTCACTTTAAAGTTGGGATATGGATGTGGGAGAGGGAGCCATGTGCAAGGACCCCTTGGGGATCTGAAAGTGCCCACACTGTGCCCCCACCTGGGACCACAGCAGCACAGGGGGGAACATTGATTCACAGTACAGAACACTGATTATAGGAGGTGTCAAAGAGGCAGCTCCACATAATCAAAGTGTCTGTAAGGCTTTGAATGAGCAGCAGAAGAGGGAAGAAACCCCAAAAGAGTGGTTGGAAAGGTTGGGGGAAAATATGGGGCAATAGTCAGGGGTTGATCCTGACATTGTGGCTGGACAAATCTGACTAAAGATAAATTTTGACCAATCACACAAAGCCGAAGCACTTTGACAGTAGTTCCATCCAACCACTATAAGCACACATACCTTTGGTTATACAATGCTTGCTTATTTCAAACACAATACCTGTTTGTAAGCCTTAAAATACAGTGCACAGAGATCCATTATTAAGATTAGAACTTCTTAATATCTAACTGGATAAACTTTTTGTAGCTTAGGGAGTTATTCTAGACAAGTGTTAATACACAGACCATTGTTCTATGTGCCCTTACTTTCTACATCTTACATAACATTTCTGCTGACAAATCTTAAGGCTATTGCTTAGGTCTCATTGCATTTCTGCTGTCTCAGCCCTGCCTTTTGCAGCTTTCCCAAAACCTCTGATTTGAAGGTTTCCCACACCTGGGAAAAGAAGCACAAGGGGAACCCCAGATTCCAGGAGCTTGTCCTCTGAGCTGAGCCCTCCTCATCCATCCTGGCCTAACTGGGAATTTTCCTTTTGGGACCACTCCAGGCTTTAAAATCTGCAGCAGTTTTTGGCAAAAATGCTTTAGTAGGTGATAATTAGCAGTAGCAGAGTAATTAACTTGGAAGTGTTTTTCCCTGCATGTGGAGTACCGGCTGACAGGAATTGGTACCAGAGTGTTTCAACCCCTCTCACCTCAGAAAAAGGCTGAGGAACTCCTCATGAGTTAAAAAAAGCTGATCTGAGGTGGTTTCTGTGCTTTATTCTGGGAATTGTTCCATCACACACCAAAAGAATCACTCTGTGGTTGTAGACACCTCCCATCCATGCTTTGATGGTGTTGGGCAGCTGGAGACCAAGGTTCCTTTCAGAGTCAAACCCATCCAGACATGTCTCTGGTTTTAGGGTTTTTTTTCCCTTAGGTTTGTGGGGTTTTTTTGAAGTGGAACAATTGTTTTAATTACTGCTCAGTCTCAGGGCAGTAATTATGTCCTGAACTTTGCTGCTCTCATCAGAGTGAGGGGCAGGTTCCAACCTGGCTCCATCAGAACAGGCTCAGGGAGGGGCTGTTACCTCACAGAGGAACAGTTTGCAATGAAAAGTTATTGTAAATATTTCTCTTTAACCCAGCCTTGAGATTGGAACCATTTTGGTTCCAGGTAAACAAAGCATTTGCTTCTCTCACCTCAGTTTATTTAACTAATTGAATTCCATCAGTGATTTGCTCAGTGCCAAGATTCACAAAGTTGTTTTCCCTCAATCAATGAATAAAACTCTGATCCTGCTGCTTCTGGAGCCCGTGTGCACTCACCAAAAATGATCAGTTCATTGCAGTTAACAATTTCACTGTTTATTAAACAAGATTTTAATGCAAAATTGATTCTTCCCCCTGCAAGTTGACAGTGCATTTAAAGAGTTTGTATTTGCCTATTGAGACAGCTCTTAAAAACCCTGGGGGTTAGGAGTGCAATTGAATTCTGATTTCCAGCTCCACGGAGCTGGGGGCAAGCAGCTGCTGATTCCTCATGTGCTGCAGGGTGAGCACAGGGATTTCAGGGAGGTGTGCACCAGGCTGGGCTCGCTCCTGAGCCAGCACAGGGAAACCTGCTGGGGCTGGGGCTCAGCTCTGAGCAAACAGGAGGGGAGTTCAGATCTGCCCCATCCCGGAATGGGGGACAGGGAGCCCTGGGCAGCTCAGACCTTCTCCTGAAGGGCCAGAGCAAAGGGCTCAGCGTGTCCCCAGATGTCTCAGTGTGTCCCCAAAGGTCTCGGTGTGTCCCCAGTGTTCAGCGTATCCACAGAGGTCTCAGCATGTCCCTAAAAGTTTCAGTGTGTCCCCAGAGTGCTCAGCATGTCCCCAAAATGCTCAGCATGTCCCCAAAGGTCTCAGTGTGTCCCCAGGATCTCAGCATGTCCCTAAGTGTTCAGCATGTCCCCAAAGTGGTCAGTGTGTCCCCAAAGTGCTTGGTGTATCCCCAAGGTCTCAGCGTGTCCTCAGGTGCTCAGGGTGTCCCCAAAAGTCTCTGCATGTCCCCAGGTGCTCGGTGTGTCCCCAGAGTGCCCGATGTGTCCCCAAGTGCTCAGCATGTCCCCAAAGGTCTCAGCCTGTTCCCAAGTGCTCAGTGTGTTCCCAGGTGCTCAGTCTGTCTCCAAAGATATCAGTGTGTCCTCAAGTGCTCAGTGTGTCCTCAAAGGTCTCAGCTTGTTCCCAAAGGTGTCAGTGTGTCCCCAAGTGCTCAGCATGCCCCCAAAGTACTCAGCGTGTCCCCAAGGGCTCAGTGTGTCCCCAAAGGTCTCAGCATGTCCCCAAAGGTCTCAGCCTGTCCCCAGAGTGCTCAGCATGTCCCCAAAATGCTCATCATGTCCCCAGAGATCTCAGTGTGTCCCCACAGGTCTCAGAGTGTCCCCAAAGCATGGTCTCTTCCTTTAGGGAGATTTTTATCCTTTGACCTTTCTGCTCAGGGATTTTTGGAGCTGTTTCTCCGTGCGCTGTGTCACCGTAAATCCTCCAAGACACTGAAGGCAAAGACAAGATCCCAGATAATTTGTTTGGCTGTTTTCTCATTAACAGCATGGTTTTAATGATTTTAACTGGTTTTAATGACTCTGACTGGTTTTAATGAGTGTATCTGATCACTTTCCTGAGCACCAGCCCAGGGCAGTGGAGCTGTGGCTCTCCAGTGTTGGGGCTGGTGGCATCTCCCATTTTCCCCATTTTCTCATTCTTCCCATTTTCCCTGTTTTCCTGTTTTCCCCATTTTCCCCATTTATCCTAATATCCCCATTTCACCTTTTTTCCCGACTTTCTCTGTTTTCCGTTTTCCCTGTTTCCCCCTGTTCTTCCCCCATTTCCCCCGTGTTCCCCCTTTTCCCCATTTCCGCATTTTTCCCATTATCCCTGTTATTCCCATTTCTCCAATTTTTCCCATTTTCCCTTGTTTTCCCCATTTTCCCAATATCCCTGTTTGCCCCATTTTCCCCAATTTCCCCATTTTCCCCATTTCCCCCTTTTTCCCTACTTTCTCTGCTTTCCCTGTTTTCCCCCATTTTCCCCTGTTTTTCCCCCATTTCCCCCATTTTCCTCCATTTTCCCATTTCCCCAGTGTTCCCATTTCCCCAATTTTCCCATGTCCCCTGTTTTCTCCATTCTCCCATTTTCCCATTTTTCCATTTCCCCCATATTCCCATCTTCCCCATTTCCCCTTTCCCCTATTTCCTCCATTCCCCCATTTTCCTGTTTTCCCCATTTCCCCCGTTTCCCCCATTCCCCCATTTTCTGCATTTCCCTCATTTCCCCTATTTCCCCCATTTCTCCTATTTTCCCATTTCCTTCATTTTCCCTGTTTTCCCATTTCCCCTGTGTTCCCCATTTCCCCCATTTTCCCCATTTCGCCCCTTTTCCTATTTTCCCCATTTCCCCAATTTTCCCCCATTTCCCCAGTTTTTCCCATTTTCTCGTTTTCCCTGTTTTTCCTGTTTCCCTCATTTTCCACATTTTCCCCAATTTCCCCATTTCCCCTATTTTCCCATTTCCCCCATTTTTCCGCCTTTCCCCCCTTTTTCTGATTTCTCCCATTTTCTGCCTTTTCCCCATTTTCCCCGGTTTTCCCATTTTCCCCATGTCCCATTTTCCCCATTTCCCCACTATTCCCATTTTCCCCATTTCCCCAATATTCCCATTTTTCCCATTTTCCCCATTTCCCCATTTCCCCAATATTCCCATTTCCCCAATATTCCCATTTCCCCAATATTCCCATTTTTCCCATTTTCCTCATTTCCCCATTTTCCCAATATTCCCATTTCCCCAATATTCCCACTTTTCCCATTTTCCCCATTTCCCCAATATTCTCATTTCCCATTTCCCCAGTATTCCCATTTTACCCATATTTCCCATTTTCCCGTTTCCGCAGTGGCCAACTCCACCACGGGCAGCGGTTCCCGCCGTGACTCGCTGACGGGCAGCAGCGAGCTGTACAAGAGGACCTCGAGCAGCCTGACCCCCATCGGGCACAGCTTCTACAACGGCCTGGGCTTCTCCTCGTCCCCCGGGCCCGTGGGCATGCCCCTGCCCAGCCAGGGCCCCGGGCACTCGCAGACTCCTCCTCCCTCCCTGTCCTCACACGGATCCTCCTCCAGCCTCAACCTGGGTAAGAGCCCTGCTCTGCTCTCCTGCTGCACCCCTGGTCCCCCCAGGCAGATCCTGTGGGTCACACAATCATTGAGGTGGAGAACAATCTTGAATTCAGGTCCAGCCCTCCTGGAGTGTGTGTGTGTCCTGCAGGGTTCAGCTGGGAACAGGTTTCCATCTTTCCTCCTCTTTCCTGTCTTGGTTTGAGCAGCCAGGTGTCTGCTGAGGAAGGCAGGAGCCTCCCCTGAAATGCAAAATGCAAACCCCCTCCCTCTGAGTTATCATTTTGAAGTCAAGGGGCTTTCAGGAAAAGATACGGGAATAGGAATAGTAGTTCTCGGAAAATGCAAACCCCCTCCCTCTGAATTATTATAATTTTGAAATTAACAGGCTCTCAGGCAAAGATATGGGAATAGGAATAGAAATAGTAGTTCTTTATTAGGGAAAAAATAAAAATAAAATAAAAGCTGATTTTCGCCCAAGAGCCCTCCAGGCTTTGGCTCTGCTGAGCTCTGGCCCAGCCATGCTGATTTTTCATCCTCTTGGGTTCCTGGAAGAGCTGCAGGACATGGGATGAGTTCCTGTCTTGGTTTGAACAGCCAGGTGTCTGCTGAGGAAGGCAGGAGCCTCCCCTGAAATGGAAAATGCAAACCCCCTCCTTCTGAATTATTATAATTTTGAAATTAACAGGCTCTCAGGCAAAGATATGGGAGTAGGAATAACAGTTTTGCACTAGGAAATTAAAAATACAAATGCAATAGTACAAACAAACCCTGCCAGAGTGCGAGCAGGCCCTGGCACGCTGTGGCTCAGGCTGGTGGCACAGCCCCATGCCATGGGGGCTCAGCCCTCCTGCAGTGCCAGCTGTGGCTCTGCTGCAGCAGGGATCCTGCACAAGGGGGGAGTTTTCCTCTGCAGCTCCAGGGCTGCTGCAGATGGGCCTGGGCTCCCTCTGGCAATGCAGGGCAGCAGAAAGCTGCTCCTCTGGCAATGCAGGGGGCAAAGGCTGCTGTGCTGTGCCAGGCTCAGATTGGATCCAGGCAGGAATGCTTGGCTCCTGCCCTGGGCGCAGCATCTCCCCATGGGATGCTGGGATTGGATCAGCCCTGCAGGGACACTCAGTGGCCATGGAGAGCAGAGATCTCCTGGAGGGAGGATTGGCTGTGGGAGAGATCAAGAGAACTGCCCCAAGAACAGCAGAGAACTGCCCCATCAGGTAGGGATAGGACACAAACCCCCATTTCCAGACTGAGACATTTCCTCAGATCAAAATTAGGGATAATATTCCCAAGTGTTTATAAACCAGGATTTTCTTGCACTGGTCTTGGTAACAGCAGCAGTGATTTGTGGAGTAAAATAGATAAGGAGAGTTGATCTTCAATTTAAATGGTTTTAAAGGGGATGTTTTAAAATACCCATTAAATTGGGAATAATGAGCTTGGAGTACAATTCCTCCTTTTAACCAATATTCCCTGGAGCAGTGTTCAACTTTGAGCTGAGGATTTGGTGAGTTTACCTTGGAAAATTTCCCATCAGTGTGGCCTTATCAAAATCACAGGAGAAATCATTTTGAGAAGATCCATGACTTTGTGCAGCTGAAGCTTCTCAAAGAGCTTCTGCCTGGCCCACAATAAAATAAATCTTAAAAATAAAGAAAGCAAATATTAAATAATAAAGCAGTGCCCATCTGAACCTCCTGCAATGTTCATTCCCTCATAAACAAACCAAAGAGATTATTTGTTGCACCTGCAGCAGGTAATTTAATATTTCCTCCAAAAATTCACTTGGTTTTGGTTGTGTCGTGAATCTGCTGGGTTTAACAAAACTTCTGCTTCTCAGAGCAGTTCTCCCCCCTCAGCAGACTGTGTATTTATTATGTGTGTTCCATGCATGTGTGATAAATCCAGTGCTGGCTCTAGGTTAGCTGGAATAGCCATAAATATGATTCTTGGAGATCAAGTTTAGATTTACCATCGTGGCTTGTTCAGAGCTTTAATAGAACTGGAAGGATTTTGACTTTATTTATGCAGCTGTGGAGGCCTTGGCTGATAGTTAAATGGCCAGAATAAATTAGTGCTGAGGAGGGAGCAGATTCCAAACCTGGAAAAAGCTGGGTGCCCTTGCAAACAAAAAATTAATAAAAAATCCTAAAAATTCTTTGGAATCAAGGAATCTTAAGAATTCCTCTGGATCAGAGGAAGGTGGATCTGTCTGGGAACAAACTCTGGAAATAAATTGGAATTAGCACCCCCAGAAATGGGTTGTGCTGCATAGGATATGTGTGAGGCTTCCCATCTTCCCAAAATATTCCTGTCCTTGTGGTCTTGTCCCCTCTGTGGCTGGTTCCTTGCTGGGTGATGCTGTAGGTCAGATGTCACCTGGGATAGCTCTGATTTGGGGGATTTCACCTTGAAATCCATGAAAAGTCATTTTATTTTTTCAAGTTTCTCTTTCATTGGTACTAGAGGGGGAGGTCTGATTTCCTTTGTTATAAAATCAGTTCTGATGGAGAGAAGGCTCCAGGGAGAGCTCAGAGCCCTTGCAGGGCCTGAAGGGGCTCCAGGAGAGCTGCAGAGTGACTGGGGACAAGGATGGAGGGACAGGAGGCAGGGAATGGCTGCCAGTGCCAGAGGGCAGGGCTGGGTGGGATCTTGGCAATTGGGAATTGTTCCCTGGCAGGGTGGGCAGGGGCTGGGCTGGAATTGCCAGAGCAGTTGTGGCTGCCCCTGGAGCCCTGAAATCCTGGATCCCTGCTTGTGGGACAACAGAGAAATCAGGGAATGGTTTGGGCTGGGAGAGACCTTAAATCCCACCCAGTGCCACCCCTGCCATGGCAGGGCCACCTGCCACTGTGCCAGGTGCTGCCAGCCCCAATGTCCAGCCTGGCCTTGGGCACTGCCAGGGCTCCAGGGGCAGCCACAGCTGCTCTGGCAATTCCAGCCCAGCCCCTGCCCACGCTGCCAGGGAACAATTCCCAATTGCCAAGATCCCATCCAGCCCTGCCCTCTGGCACTGGCAGCCATTCCCTGGCTCCTGTCCCTCCATCCTTGTCCCCAGTCCCTCTGCAGCTCTCCTGGAGCCCCTTCAGGCCCTGCAAGGGCTCTGAGCTCTCCCTGGAGCCTTCTCCTCCCCAGGAGAGCACCCTCAGCTCTCCAGCCTGGCTCCAGAGGAAGAAGGAGCTGTTTCTTTGGAGTTTTTGGTAAAATCCCACTGAAGTCTGGGATCTGACCCAGTCCTGGCACAGAGGAGCTGGTGGCACCCTGAGGTTTCAGGCCTTTGGTGAGGTTCAGTATTGTGTTTTAGGGAGCTTGTTCCCCCCAGGATCTCTGTGTTCCCAGGATGATGTTGGGCATCCTGGGGAAACCTGCAGTCAGCATTCCCATCAGGAGAGACAGCCAGGGGGGAAAGTGGAGTCACTCTCAATCTCCAAGTGATTGGGGCTCTCTCAGAAAACCTCTGACAGATTTTCTGTACTGATTGTGCTCCTAACCAAGAGATAACAGCCTGAGTGCCAAAACTCCCCTTTCCCATCAGGAACCATTTTCCTCTTCAGTCCCAAACTCTGAACTTTGCTCCAGGTGTTGAAACAAAAAGTGGGAATCGTGAGAATTCCAGATGTGTGGGAAGCATCGGTGCCCCATTGCTCAGCTTGTCCCACCGAGGTTTCCTCACCTGGGAAGTGCTTTACTCATCCTGTGGCAATCCTGCTCCTTCCAGTAGACAGGAATATCAGGAATGTCAGGAATATCACCTGCTGGCTTTTGGGAGTTGTTGCTCAGTGTGGGAGTTGGGGTGCAGGAGGTGCTGGGCACTCCATTGCAAGGCAGCACAAGGAGCTCTCAGCTCTCCTTTTCCTTGGGAAAAACTGGAGGAAAAAGGGTCTCCCCCTTCCTTGGGCAAGGCGAGTTCTGGCACCAGCTCCAGAGAAATTTGCCCAGCTCAGAGATGTAGAATCACAGAATATCCTGAGCTGGAAGTGAGCCACAGAGGTCATAATTAATAATTAATTAGGCTGTTATCAGATACAGAGTTCTTATCCAGTTTCCTGCATGGGTGTTTCCTCCAGGTGTCCATGGCTGAGGAGTGCAGCTCCCTCAGCTCTGTTTTTATGGAATATTTTAATTCCAGCCCAGCTGCCAGGAGCTGCCCCTCTGCAGCCAGCCCTGCCAAGGTTTCCTTGGAGCTCTCCCCTCCATGGCCCAGATTCCTGCAGTTCATTTCCCTGGGATTCCCCCTGCCTCACCTGGGCCCTGCAGGTCCCTGTGTGATCAGGATGTGTTCCCTGGACTTTGTTCCACCCAGGAAAATCCGTGCAGGCCCCTCCTGCGCCAGCAGAGGGATCCCAAGCCCTGCAGGAAAGGCAGGAATCAAATCCTCTGCCACAGTGCCGAGCCACATCCTGAAAATTGCAGAGAAACTGCACTGGAAGGTTTAAGTTTGTTCCTATCAAAGCTTCTCTTTGTGGGATGAAGCATCACCTGTCCCCATATTCCTGTTTTGGGTCCCACAGCATCTCTGTTAATGTGGCTGCACATATTTCAGCCATATGTGAAAGCACAAGGGTTTAAAACCTCTCTTGGAATTAATTTATTAGTATCTACCTGTGTTTAATAGTGATAGATTTGTGCTTTTATATCCACATTTTTTATACTTTTATATCTATCCCCCACCCCCAGCACGCTTCTTTTAACTCAGTCCTTGCCAGGACAGCAGGAGAGGTGGGAAAAACCTGAGTATGGAGGCAAAGGCAATGGAAACAGCAAAAAAGTTAAAATTTGGGAGTGTTGGGATTGCCACTGCTCTGGTTCAGACATTTTGCACACAGGAGGAGGAACAGAAGCTGTTACACTCTGTCAGAAAGCCACAGTCAGAGATGTGATGTCATTGAATAGGGTCAGAATCACAGAATATCCTGGTTTAGAAGGGATCATCAGAGTTCTTTGCTGGACTCTGTAGCTGTTCCCTAGTCCAGCATTGCCACAGATGCTTGGACACATCCCCATCTCAATTCCTTGGTGGGCAGCTCAGTCAGGAGTCACAAAATGGGATCATGGAGGTTGGAAAAACCCTCTGGGGTGTTTGGGTCCCACCTGTGACTGATCAACCAGCCCAGCTGAGTGCCATGCCCAGGAATTCCTTGGACACCTCCAGGGATGGGGAATCCCAACCTCCTTGGGCAGTTCCAAGGCCTGACCATCATAAAACAGGATCATCAAGGTTGGAGAAGCCCTCCAAGGTCTTCAGGTCCAACCTGTGACCAGTCTCCACTGGGACACTGAGTGCCACATGTTCATTCCTTTGGCATCTCCAGGGATGGGGATTCCAAACCTCCCTGGGTGGTTCCAGTGCCTGAACACCCTTCCAGTGAGGAAATCCTGCCTAGAAATTCTTCTTAGAAATCCCACCTCAAAATCCTGCTTAGCTGAATGTCAGACCTGCCCCCATATTGGAACAGAACTCGGGGATCCAATGTCACATCCTTGTGTCCCCATGAGGCCCATCCCTGCCCTGTTCCCTGATCCCATCCCTGCCCCATTCCCTTATCCCATCTGTGCCCCATGCCCTGATCCCATCCCTGTCCTCTTCCCTGATCCCATCCCTGCCCTGTTCCCTGATCCCATCCCTGCCCCATTCCCTTATCCCATCTGTGCCCCATTTCCTGATCCCATTCCCTGATCCCATTCCCTGATCCCATTCCCTTATCCCATCCATGCCCTGATCCCATCCCTGTCCTCTTCCCTGATCCCATCCCTGCCCTGTTCCCTGATCCCATCCCTGCCCTGTCCCCTGATCCCATCCGTGCCCTGTGCCTTATCCCATCCATTCCCTGATCCCATCCCTGCCCTATTCCCTGATCCCATCCCTGCCCTATTCCCTGATCCCATTCCCTGATCCCATCCCTGCCCCGTTCCCTGATCCCATCCCTGCCCCATTCCCTGATCCCATCCCTGCCCCGTTCCCTGATCCCATCCCTGCCCCATTCCCTGATCTCGTTCCCTGATCCCATCCCTGCCCCATTCCCTGATCCCATCTGTTCCCTGACCCCATCCCTGCCCCGTTCCCTGATCCCATCCCTGCCCCATTCCCTGCCCCATTCCCTGCCCCATTCCCTGATCCCATCCCTGCCCCATTCCCTGATCTCGTTCCCTGACCCCATCCCTGCCCCGTTCCCTGATCCCATCTGTTCCCTGACCCCATCCCTGCCCCGTTCCCTGATCCCATCCCTGCCCCATTCCCTGATCCTGTTCCCTGATCCCATCCCTGCCCCATTCCCTGCCCCATTCCCTGCCCCATTCCCTGATCCCATCTGTGCCCTGTCCCTCGCAGGGGGGCTGACGAACGGCAGTGGCCGTTACATCTCGGCGGCGCCGGGGGCGGAGGCCAAGTACCGCAGCGCGAGCAGCGCCTCCAGCCTGTTCAGCCCCAGCAGCACGCTGTTCCCGTCCTCGCGCCTGCGCTACGGCATGTCCGACGTCATGCCCTCGGGCCGCAGCCGCCTGCTCGAGGACTTCCGCAACAACCGCTACCCCAACCTGCAGCTGCGCGAGATCGCCGGCCACATCATGGAGTTCTCCCAGGACCAGCACGGATCCAGGTGGGCTGGGCAGCCTGGCCACGGCTGCTCCTCGGGGAGCATCCCTTGGGTTTTGTGGCTGTGTTTCGTGGTTGTGTTTTGTGGTTGCATTTCATGTGTTTCATGGTTGTGTTTTGTGGCCGTGTTTCATGGTTATGTCTCATGGTTGTGTTTTGTGGCTGTGTTTCATGGTTATGTTTCACAGTTGTGTTTTGTTGGTTGTGTTTCGTGGTTGTGTTTCGTTGGTTCCATTTCGCAGTTGTGTTTTGTGCTTGTTGTTCTGTTGGTTCCATTTTGCCAGTTGAGTTTTGCAGTTGTGTTTCGTTGGTTCCATTTTGCGATTGTGTTTTGTGGCTGTTGCTTTGTTGGTTCCATTTCACGGTTGTTGTTTTGCGGTTTATTTTGTAGTTGTGTTTTCTTGGTTGCGTTTCACAGTTGAGTTTCGCAGTTGTGTTTTGTTGGTTCCGTTTTGCAGTTGTGTTTTGTTGCTTGTGATTTGCAGTTGTGTTTTGTGCTTGTTATTTTGTTGGTTGCATTTTGCTGGTTGTTGTGTTTTGTTGGTTGTGTTTTGTGGTTATTCCTTTGTTGGTTCCATTTTGCGGTTGTTATTTTGTTGGTCCCATTTTGCCAGTTGTGTTTTGTTGGTTCCATTTTGCTGGTTGAGTTTTGCAGTTGTTGCTTTGTTGGTTCTATTTCGCAGTAGTTGTTTTGCAGTTGTGTTTTGTTGGTTGCATTTCACAGTTGAGTTTCACAGTTGAGTTTCACAGTTGAGTTCACAGTTGTGTTTTGTGTCACTTCCCCAAGCTGAGGCACACCAGGGAATAAGCAGGAACAGCCAAGCCAGTGTCAGGCTCAGAATCCCCAGGGATTGTCCAGTCCAGGGACATTGGCATTTCCAGGGATGGGCACTCCAAACCTCCCTGGGCGGTTCCAATGCCTGAACACCCTTCCAGTGAGGGAATCCTGCCTAGAAATCCCATCTTGAAATTCTTCTTAGAAATCCCACCTCAGAATCCTGTCCAATTCCTGGCCCTGCCCAGACACCCCAGATCCCACCCTGTGCGTGCCTGGGGGTGTTGTCCAGGGTTGGGGACAAGTGCTGGTCGCAGGAATTCCTCCTCAAATTTAGCCTGGAGAAAAGGAGACTCAGGGGTGCCCTCATGACTCCCTGCAGCTCCTGAAAGGCGCCTGTGCTCAGCTGGGGTTGGGCTTTTTTCTCCAGGAACTGACAGAACCAGAGCACACAGCCTCAAGCTGCCCCAAGGGAAATACAGGTTGGATATTAGGAAAAAGTTTTTTACCTAAAGAGTGAAAAAGTTCTGGAATGTTCTGCCTGGGGAGGTGGTGGAGTCACCATCCCTGGGTGTGTTTAACAAAGCCTGGATGTGGCACTGGGTGCCAGAGTTGAGTTGAGGTGTTGGGGCTGGGCTGGACTCGATGGTCTTGAAGGTCTCTTCCAACCCAGTGATTCTGTTAAAAGGAGCTTCCCTGCTTTGTGGTTTGCTCACTCACCCTGCTGGCACAGCTAAATCCATTTTAAAACCCATCTGGACATGGGGCCATCCTCCATTACTCCACTGAGATCTGCTTTGCTTGGAATGAAGATTCCAGCATGTGGCCATGGACCTCATGACTGTGACCACCCCGAGCTTTCAGATGGCTGGATGAAATATCTGTGTTTGCAAGGGCTTTGCAAGTTGTGGGTGACTAAAATGTCTTAAATTTGAATATTTAACTTGTGATAGGAAGCTTAGGTTAATGAAAGTGCTTAATCTTCACGGTGTAATGGGATTTTTCATGGTCCTTTCTGGAACACACGGGTGAGGCTTTGGGAAGGGGTTCAGTGAGCAGATGTGCCCGTGGCATCACTCCAAGACCTCCTTTTCAGATTTATTCAGCTGAAACTGGAGCGTGCCACCCCAGCAGAGCGTCAGCTGGTGTTCAACGAGATCCTGCAGGCAGCCTATCAGCTCATGGTGGATGTGTTTGGGAATTACGTCATTCAGAAGTTCTTCGAGGTGAGTCTGCCCTCCCCTGCAGCTCCTCCTGCTGTGCTGAGATGTTGGATGAGCCTGGCAAACCCTGCCTTGAGGCTGAACCCCTTCAGCACTGGCACCATCTCCTCCCCAAAAGCTGTTGGATCTTCACTGCTGGGGTGACTGAGGGGTGGGACTCAGATTAATCTGCAAAGTGACACTTGGACAAGCACAATGTGTCACAACAAAGAGCAACGTTCAGGAGATGTAAATTTGCAGTGGATGGTGAATGGGGGTTGGAATGGGCTGAGCCTTAAGGTCCCTTCCAGCCCAAACCTCCCTGGCATTCTGTGAGTGCAGATCCAGCACAGCTTGTCCAGGGTGCTGCACTGAGCTGTCACTGCTCCTGGCCTTGGGAACAAGGGGGAAACTTCTCCAGTTACAGCAGCTGCTGGAAGGGTGTTGTGTCCCTCCACCCCTCTCTCTGCACACTGGTCTGGTCCTTCTCCAGGTGTTCTGGTGCTTCTGCCCGAGTTGAGAATCAGAATCTCAGAACCTCCTGAGCTGGAATGGACCCACAAGGCTCAAATCCAGCTCCTGGCCCTGCCCACACACCCTAACAATCCCACCCTGGGCATGCCTGAGCCATTGTCCCAGCACTTCCGGAGCTCTGGCAGCCCTGGGGTTGTGACCTGCCCAGGGTTGGTTGGTCACCCTGGTGGCCCCAGTCCCTTTGGGGTGTCCAGGCAGGCACAGAACATGTCTGGCTGTGCCAGTTCATCCCTTTTCCATGGTGACCTGTCCATTGTTGGTTGGTCACCTTGGTGGCCCCAGCCCCTTTGGGCTGTGCAGGCAGACACAGAACCCGTCTGGCTGTGCCAGTTCACCCCTTTCCCATGGGCTGACCTTTGATCCTTCTCAGTGGGCAGCTCCTGCCCCTCCAGGGTGGGAGGGCAGTGCCAGTGGCCAGGGCAGGGGTCTGTCCTGGCAGTGACTGTTTGTCCTGTCCCAGTTTGGCAGCCTGGAGCAGAAGCTGGCGCTGGCAGAGCGCATCCGTGGGCACGTGCTGTCCCTGGCCCTGCAGATGTACGGCTGCAGAGTGATCCAGAAGGCCCTGGAGTTCATCCCCCCAGACCAGCAGGTAATTGTAAGTTTCAATTTTAACTTTCTTCTTGATGTTTGATGTTCATGAACTGTCCCTCTTGTGCCTGCTGTTCCCTTGGTTTGGTCCCTGGCATGTTTGTGTGTGACGAGTCCGTGCCACCGTCCTTGGTTGTCATTGTCACCTCCTTGTTCCCCTTCCCTGGCCATGGGGCTGCTTCTCTGTTAATTCCCTGGAAGCAGATCATGTGTGTAGGGAAAACTGAAAATGAGGATGAATTAAAAGAGATTTTTAAATCCCTTGAAGGAAGAGTTTTGCCTTTAATATTCACTGAGTTACTGCTATGTGGGTCAGCATCCTGTGCTCCTGCAGGGAGATGGATGAGGAGCTCCTCGTGCTGGCTTTGGAGAGATGTGGCTGATAGCCCCACTCAGAGCTCATTAATAAAGCACTTCCTCAAGGGCTTTAGGAACAATGAATTGAGATGAAAAATACGCTGGGCAGAAAGGGTTGGGGATGGTTGTAACAAGAATCTCAATGTAGGTTATGAAATTAAAAATATGAAAGAGGCTTTAGGAGTGGTCCTTCCTTTTAGGCTGAGCCTGAGCCAAGTGTGTCAGTAGGGCTGTGCCCAGGCTCCAGCTCTGCTGCTCCAAGGATTCACTGTCTCCTCCAGAGGGGCATTTTTCAGTACTCAGTGCTCCCCAAATTCCTGGGTTTGATTTAGTTACAAAACTGAATTCACCCAGATCTTGTCAAAGCATTAAAATGCCCCAAAGTGTAATTTCTGTTTGTGAGTGAAGCTTCTACCCTGTAGATGGGGTACATCAGTCATGGCTAAACTTCATTAATTCCCTAATTATCACCTGTGTAAAATCCCAGCAAGTTCTGAGCTCAGAACTGACCCTGTTCTCGTGACAGGTGACCCTGATAACCCAAAGAGTTTGTGAACTTTGTGCATTTTAGATTTGCTTCTCCTTGAGGGGAGCAGAGAGGAAAATGGGGGATGCAGAGGAAAATGGGGGATGCAGAGGAAAGCAGTGGCTCAGTCAGGATTTCTTTAATTTGGATTCTTGGAAGAGGATGCTCATCAGGAAGGAGGGCTTCATCTTCCTAGAGTCCCAGGGTGGTTTGGGTTGGAATGGAGCTCCAAGCTCCTGTTCCAGGCCCCCTCCCCTCATTCCAGGCTGCTAACAGGGTGTCAGAGCAGGATTTGCCCTGCTGGTTTGTGTCCAGCCAAGCCTCACCTCCTGGCCATGGGAGCACCCTCACTCCTGTGCCGTTCCTGCCCATGCCAGCAGTGCCGGCTGTGCCCTCTGAGCTGGGGATGCTGGTGGTGCTTTCTGTTTGTGCTGTGCCCTCTGTAGAACGAGATGGTTCGGGAGCTGGACGGGCACGTGCTCAAGTGCGTCAAGGACCAGAACGGGAACCACGTGGTGCAGAAGTGCATCGAGTGTGTGCAGCCCCAGTCCCTGCAGTTCATCATTGATGCCTTCAAGGGACAGGTGAGGCCCTGGCCAGCTCCTGCTGCCAGCTTGGAACAGCCTCAGAGTGGCTGGGACTTCATCTCCTGGGAATTCTCAGTTTTAGCAGCTGGTGCTTGCAGGGTTGATCAGCCACATGAGAGTCCAGAAACTCCTTGGTCACATCTGTGTCATCATTTCTGGGCAGAGCTGTCAGAGTAAAACCTCCTTGCGAGAGTCTTCTCCTGGAGTATTGAGTATTTTTGAGTGATGAGGGAATACAAGGCTCTCCCTAATCCATCTTCCAGGGAAGGTGGTGAGCAGAGTTTTGTGCTGCTGAGGTACCTTAGCCATGTCTAAACTTCATTAATTCCTTAATTATCACCTCACTTGTGTAAAATCCCAGCAAGGTCTGAGCCCAGAGCTGATCCCCCTTTAGTGACAAGTGACCCTGATTACCCAAAGAATTGGTGAATTTTGTGCATTTCAGATTCATTTCTCTTTGAAGGGAGCAGAGAGGAAAATGGAGGATGCACAGGAGAGCAAAGTTTTATTATGATCCCTGTCTGTGCAGGTGGCTTAGAGGAATGCTGAATGCTGATTCCCAGGGGCCTCAGAGCAGGGAAAATGCAGGACTTTCATCTAGAAATGGACAATTGTCCTTGGCTCTCTTAGTTCTTTGCTTTTTTATTGGTGTCCTCTCCTGAATTGATCATTGGGTATCAGTTGTGACTGGCTTTACTCTGCCTGCCTCATGCCCCAATACAAAAGTGCTGCTTTTGGGGTGTTCCCAACCTCAATTTAATTGGCTTTGCAGGGGGACTTTGAAGTTTTGAGGACTTTACCCAGGGATGTGAGTGCAGCCAGGGGCTGATACAGCAGGAACCAGGAGCTGGGAGTCTGGGGAAAGTTGGGATCTGGTTGGTTGGTCAGAACAAGCAGGATTCTGCCTGGAAACTTGCTTCTGATTAGAGTTTAGGCTTGGATTTTCCACTGGGAGTTTACAAGGCAGAAACATCTCTGTGGGCTCAGCTGATGGCGCTGACATTTCCTTGACCAGTTGTCGCAGTTTTATCTGAACCTTCACACAGCAGATTAAACTTAGCACCTCCAGATGATTTTCCTGCAGTTAATTGCACTCCAAGCCCTGTTTCCCTGCAGGGTTTACTCACCAGTTATTAAAAATGTGTGACTGTTGATTTAAACTTCAGTGCTTGGATTTGCTGCTGTTGTTAAATCAAAGCAACCAAACGGGACTTTGTGCTTCAGACAGAAAACGGAGCAGCAATAACAGAATGTGTCATGTTCTCACCCACAGATCTGCTAATCCATTAGAAATGAGAAAGATTCTTTGTTGTCACTTCTCCTAAGCACTGTTAAGGCTTTTAAACAAATCCAAACAGTTGAGGAAAATCCTTTGCTGGGCATTTTTAACTTTTCTGGCTCATAGCATTTCTTAAATAGCTTTAAATTTGTGCTGGCAAACAATGTGCTGGAATAATTTGGAAAGAATAACCAAGCTTCCAGCAATGCTTGGTTGTTCCAGGGGTGGTTTTTTTAATGAATCAAGAGGTTTTACTATTTGTTTTTTATAGATGGGGAAGCTGAGATTTCCCCAGGTGGGGATGGGTGTGCCTGTGATCCCAGTGGGTATTTCCCAGCTGGTGCTGGCATTCCCTGCAGGAATGCTGGCAGGTTTCTGGGATTCCCAGGCATTAATGGGATGTTGCTGGCTGTCCTTTGTCCCCAGGTGTTTGCTCTGTCCACGCACCCCTACGGCTGCCGGGTGATCCAGCGGATCCTGGAGCACTGCCTGCCCGAGCAGACCCTGCCCATCCTGGAGGAGCTCCACCAGCACACGGAGCAGCTGGTGCAGGTCAGTGGGTGCCCAGGTCACTGCTGAGTGCTGGGACAGCTCCTGCAGGGAGATTCCCACCTGGAGAAGGGATGGCAGTGAGCCCAGCAGGCAGGAGTTTCATCAGCACCGCCTGCTTTGGCCATGGGCACAGGTCCAGGGGTGCCAGGGGTGTTGGCACCTCCCTGCCTGAGGAGACCCCGTGTCCTGGTGTGTCACAGACATCTTTTCATGAAAAATCTGTTCCTTAAGATTTTACCTCCTGAGAAGCTGAGAGGCCTCAGGAACAAAATGTAAACATTGATTATCTGCTGCTGTGGAATGCAACAGGTGCATCTGGGATTGGCTCATGTTAGATGTTTGTAATTAATGGCCAGTCACAGCCAGCTGGCTTGGACTCTCTGTCCGAGCCACAAACCTTTGTTATCATTCTTTGCTATTCTGTTCTTAGCCAGCCTTCTGATGAAATCCTTTCTTCTATTCTTTTAGTATAGTTTTAATGTAATCTATATCATAAAATAATAAATCAGCCTTCTGAAACATGGAGTCAGATCCTCATCTCTTCCCTCATCCTCAGACCCCTGTGAACACCGTCACACTGGTGCTTCTCTCCAGTGCAGGGAAGAGCCAGGAGCTGTTCCCGGAGCCCCAGTGCAGGAGGGATGCCAGGAGCTGATCACTGCAAGGAAAAGGAGTGAATCAGCTCCTGGCATCCCTCCTGGCTTTAAGAATTCACTGGGATTCTTAAAAAGAGTTGGTTCTGTGCTCAGCCCCTCCTGGCTGCCTTCCCTCCTCCTTGCAGCCCCTGGGAGAGCCTGGTGTGCCAGGGTTTTACATGGATTCTGCTCTTGGGGCCTGTGGAGAAAGCAGCAAAGCCAGTCCTGGTCCAGTTCCCAAATTGCCACTCAGATCCCAAGGCACAAACTGGTGAAATAAGAGCTGGTCCAGTGCCCAAGTCCTGTGTGCTCAGCACTGGGAAGAGGAAGAGGCTGGGCATGGACATCAGGCCATGCCTGTCGTACCCTGAACTGGAAAATAAATATCCTGTGGTCTGAATATTCCCAAATTCAGAGCAGTGTCCCCTAGCCAGACCCATGGCACGCCCCTTGACATGGGATTTTTTAGGTTTGAACCTGGAGAGAGGGGAAAAAACCCAGTGAATAAGCAGAGTATGGGCATTCCTTGTGTAAGGACATAATTTTGAGTTCTATAAATAAGAAAATTTCTACAAAAATGCATCATTTTACCACCTGGTACCACCCTAGAATGCACATTTTTGCAGAAATAGAAAGTATTGATCTGATTTGTACAGTAAACATTATAATTAATCTTTAGTTGAACTTCTAACTCTGAATGCACTTTGGGAATCAGTTTGCTGGGAATGGTTCTAGTCCCTTACCCACCTTTTGTGGCCATTTGTGCTGTCTCCCCCCAGGATCAGTATGGGAATTACGTTATCCAGCACGTCCTGGAGCACGGCCGGCCCGAGGACAAGAGCAAGATCGTAGCAGAAATCAGAGGCAACGTGCTTGTGTTGAGTCAACATAAATTTGCCAGGTAGTGATTCCCTCCTGAAATTCTCCCTCTGGGAGCATGGGCACATGGAGGAGCTGCAGAAGGCTTAGGGGGGGTGTAGGGGAGGTGAAAGTGACTTTTGCTTCATAAAAAATGTTATTTATAACAGTTGTAAAGTGAGGTGTGTCATGGAGGAAGATTGAGATGTGGAAGGGTAGCTCTAATCCAAGCTCCTGAATTTAATCAGGAATTATTATGTGTTTTGGTTTATCTGATTTATTTTCATGGGGTTTAAGTTGTCACTACCCCTTGGGTAATCAGAGCATTCACTGCCCTGGGATGCTGTGTCCAGCCATGGGGAGATTTGGGAAATCAGTGCGGCAGCAATCCCTCCATCCGTCCATCCATCCATCCATCCATCCATCCATCCATCCATTCATCCCCCATCCATCCATCCATCCATCCATCCATCCATCCATCCATTCATCCCCCATCCATCCATCCATCCATCCATTCATCCATCCCCCATCCATCCATCCATCCATCCATCCATCCATCCATCCCCCATCCATCCATCCATCCATCCATCCATCCATCCATCCATCCCCCATCCATCCATCCATTCATCCATCCCCCATCCATCCATCCATCCATCCATCCATCCATCCCCCATCCATCCATCCATCCATCCATCCATCCATCCATCCATCCATCCCCCATCCATCCATCCATCCATCCATCCCCCATCCATCCATCCATCCATCCATCCATCCATCCATCCCACTTTTCCCAGAGGAATTTCCACCCACAGAGTTATTCCCAGCTCTTTGCTGTGTCCCTTTGGAGTCACACCCAGGGAGGGACCCCTCCAAGGGGAGCTGCAGCATTCCCAGATGCAGCAGAGCCACACGTGGGTGAGGCAGGATCCAGGTATTTGTGATGTCAGCACAAAGCACTGCTTCCCACGTGTGAATCCCTGCTGGATGAGCTTCCAGCCCTCAGAACATGAGTGCTGAGCTCTTCAAAGGCTCACAACTCCCCCTTCCTCTGATGAGAGTACCCATGGACACGAGGGAAGTCCATTAATGAGAATTAGGAGAGCGTTGTCTTCACGTTGTTATTTCAGGTTCTTCCTCCCTGCTTTGCCTGGTTCTTTTTTCCCAAACTTCTTTCCAGCTCCATTAATTAGTGGAGGGTCCCCTGAGCTGAGCAAACCCACTGGGTGATGCTGTGAATCAGGCAGGGGTGTGGGATGAGCCCAGCACAGCTCATGGTCCCCTCTCATGTACCCTACTTCTGGCTCTCCAGAGAGCTCAGGCTGCTCATTAATATATTCAGGAATTCTGGAAATCCTCTGCTTGGCTGAGATTTTTCATTCCTGAACCAGCATTTCTGTGTTGTTCTAACCTTGGATGTCCATTCCCACCACGTTCCAGTGGAGAGAAAATCAAAACAACAACTTGGCTTCTCTGTTGTGAGAGTGGACATTGACCTCACAGAGCATCACTGGACACTGGTCTGAACTGGTCCAGTTCCCAAACTCCCACTAAAGATCTCAAATCTTGTTTGACATTGCTGAGCTCTGCCAGCACAAATCCCCTGCCCTTGTAGCAGCACATGAGATCTTCTTAGGGCTGGGTGAAAAGGTTCGAGGAGACATCCTGTGCTTAGGTCCCTGCTCCATTCTCAGTTCCCTATTCTGTTCCCAGTTCCCTGCCCCATTCCCTGTTCTCATTCCCAGTTCCCGCTCCCAGTTCCCTTTCCCCATTCTCATTCCCAGTTCTGATTGCCAGTTCCCTGCTCCATTCCCAGTTCCCATTCCCAGTTCCTTGCTCCCATCCCCATTCCCAGTTCCCATTCCCATGGCTTCCCCATTCCCCATCCCCATTCTCAGTTCCCGCTCCCATTCCCAATTCCCAGTTCCTGCTCCCATTCCCCATCCCCATCCCTGTTCCCATTCCCCATCCCTTCCCCATTCCCGATCCCCATTCCCTATTCCCATTGCCATCCCCCTTCCCTATCCCCATTCTCGTTCCCCATTCCCCATCCCCACTCCCATCCCCGTTCCCATTTCCATCCCCATCCCCATTCCCCATCCTCATTCCCATTCCCCATCCTCATCCCCTTCCCCATCCCCATTCCCCATCCCCATTCCAATTCCCATTCCCATTCCTATCCCCATTATCATCCCCATCCCCATTCCCCATCCCCTTTCCCCATTCCCCATCCCCATTCCCCATTTCCATTCCCATCCCTGCTCCATTCCCATTTCCAGTTCCCATTTCCAGTTCCCTGCTCCGTTCCCAGATCCCTGCTCCATTCCCAGTTCCCACTCCCAGTTCCCATTCCCAGTTCCCATTTCCCAGTTCCCGTTCCCATTCCTCAGTTCCCATTCCTCAGTTCTCATTCCCAGTTCCTATTCCCTGTTCCCATTCCCAATTCCCACTCCCATTCCCCATTCCCATCCCCATTCCCCATCCCCATCCCCTTTCCTCATTCCCATTCCCATCCCTGCTCCATTCTCAGTTCCAGTTCCCATTTCCAGTTCCCTGCTCCATTCCCAGATCCCTGCTCCATTCCCAGTTCCCTGCTCCGTTCCCAGTTTCCATTCCCAGTTCCCACTCCCAGTTCCCATTCCCGTTCCCATTCCCAGTTTCCGTTCCCATTTCCCAGTTCCCATTCCTATTCCCTGTTCCCATTCCCAATTCCCATTTCCCAGTTCCCGTTCCCATTCCTCAGTTCCCATTCCCAGTTCCTATTCCCTGTTCCCATTCCCAGTTCCCACTCCCAGTTCCCATCCTTGTTCCCATTCCCCATTCCCATTCCCTTCCCATCCTCATTTCCGTCCCCATTCCCCTCCCATCCCCATCTCCATCCCCATTCCCAATTTCCCATTCCCATCCCCATTCCCGCTGACGCGGCCGTGTCCCCGCAGCAATGTGGTGGAGAAGTGTGTGACGCACGCGTCGCGCACGGAGCGCGCCATGCTCATCGACGAGGTGTGCACCATGAACGACGGCCCCCACAGTGCCTTATACACCATGATGAAGGATCAGTACGCCAACTACGTGGTGCAGAAGATGATCGACGTGGCAGAGCCGGCCCAGAGGAAGATTGTCATGCACAAGGTGGGCACTGGGGCTGGGAGGGACAGCCTGGCACTGCTGGGCATGAGGGAAGTGATGGCAGAGGGGTTGGAGTGTTTCAGTGTCTGGGAGGTGGAAATTACGGAAGGGTGTGGGTGGGAAAAGACCTCAAAACTCATCCTACTCCACCCCAGGGACGCTTCTACTGTGCCAGGTGCTCCAGCCTGGCCTTGGGCACAGCCAGGGCTCCAGGGGCAGCCACAGCTGCTCTGGGCACCCTGGCACAGCCCAAACCTCTCTAACCAGGCCTTGCCAGGCTACAAACCCCCTGTGGCAAATGGCACTGGGGGCACCTGCAACCAGCCAGGAAATCATTCTTTCCTTTCCTTTCTCCATTTGCTGCAATGGGTTTTGGTGCTGGTTTCCATCCTTGGTTCAGGAATGTGAATGCCAGAGTGGTTTGGATGGGAAGGGATCTTCAATGGCAGCTGATTGCAGGGCAGGGCCACCTGCCACTGTGCCAGGTGCTGCCAGCCCCAATGTGCAGCCTGGCCTTGGGCACTGCCAGGGCTCCAGGGGCAGCCACAGCTGCTCTGGCAATTCCAGCCCAGCCCCTGCCCACCCTGCCAGGGAACAATTCCCAATTGCCAAGATCCCATCCAGCCCTGCCCTCTGGCACTGGCAGCCATTCCCTGCCTCCTGTCCCTCCATCCTTGTCCCCAGTCCCTCTGCAGCTCTCCTGGAGCCCCTTCAGGCCCTGCAAGGGCTCTGAGCTCTGCCTGGAGCCTTCTCCTCTCCAGGGGAGCACCCCCAGCTCTCCCAGCCTGGCTCCAGAGGGGCTCCAGCCCTGCAGCAGCTCCAGGAGCTCCTGGACTCTCTCCAGCAGCTCCAGGTGCTGCTAATGTTGGGGGCCCAGGGAACAATTCCATCCCAGTGTCCCATCTGTCCCTGCCCTGTGTCAGAGTGCAGCCATTCCCCATGTGGTGTCACTCCATTCCCGTGTCACAAATCCCTTTCCAGCTTTCTGGAGGAGTGCAGAGCTGCCCTGGGCTGGAGCTGAGCTGGCAGCAGTGCCCGTGTCCCAGTGACCCAGTTCTGCACCGAGCAGGCGCCACGCTCCTGCCAGCCAGGCTGGGCCTGAGCTCCCAGGCTGGGGACATGGGAGTGACAGCGGGAGCCACCTGGGCCTGGGGCTGTGTCCCTGCCTGTGTCTCCCATTTCTGTCCCTCTGTGTCCCTGCCTGTGTCCCCTGTCTCTGTCCCTCTGTGTCCCTGGGACTGTGTCACTCTGGCTCTGTCGGCAGTGTCCCTGTGGCCTGTGCCCCTTTGCCTGTGTCCCATTATGTCTCCCTGCCTGTGTCCCTGCAAGCTGTCCCTCTCTGTCCCTGTGCTCCTCTGCCCCTGCTGCTTGTGTCCCTCTCTGTGTCCTCCTGCCTGTGCTCCTCTGTCCCTGTGTCTCTGTCCATGCTGCTTGTGTCCCTTGGTCCGTGTCCCTTTGACAGTGTCCCTCTCTGTCCCTGTGGGCTGTGTCCCTTGGGCTCTGTCCCTCTTGCTCCATCCCTGTGGGCTGTGTCCATCTGTGTCCCTCAGGCTGTGTCCCATTGTGTCCCTATGGCCGTGGCCCTGCTGGATCTGTCCCTGTGCCTGTGGCTGCCAGCCTCACATGTCCCTCCATGTTCCTCCAAGGCCACTGGCCTTGCCTGGTGCCACCGTGCTGGTGCCACCTCAGAGCCCACAGCCATTCATGAAATCCTGTTTCTCACTTTAAAATGGATTTTGGTGTGACACTTCCCAGAATCCTGGGATCCCTGAGGCTGGAAAAGCCCCCCAAGGCCACTGAATGCAGCCTGTGCCCTGTCCCCACCTTGTCCCCACCTTGTCCCCAGCAGAGCCCTGAGTGCCACCTCCAGGGCTGGGCACTCCAAACCTCCCTGGGCAGTTCCAATGCCTGACCCCCCTTTCCCTGGAGGAGAATCCCCCTGATATCCCAGACTGCCATGGTTTAGCATTGCCCTGCAGTGTGTGCATGCACAGCCAGCCCAGGAGCTCAGCTTTATCCAAATGAAGCCATTTGGAATGAATTCTGCCTCGCTGCCATCCCCTGCGCCCGCTGCTCCAGGGGCAGGGAGCCCTGGAACAGGGAATATCTTCATTTTCCTGCTTTTAAAGGTCACATCTGCAGGGCTGCAGAATGGCAGTGCATGGAGAGTAACAGGCTTTAGATGGGGGTGGGGCTGAGGGGATTTTAATTTCCTTCAGTGACATTTGTTGGGGTTACTTGATGAAAAAGCACAGGTACAGCCAGAGAAATGAAATCCTGACTGACCCAGGCATGGAAAAGCTGAGATTTATTTATTTTGAATAATGTCAGGTATTCAAATGCTAATGAAGTTTTTTTTTTAATTATATTTAAGCATCCTTGACTAAACCAGACTGATTTTTCTGTAAGCAATGGGAATTTGTGTGAGGGAGCTGCTTTGACCTCCACATGCACAGAATCAACACAAACAGCTGGAATAATCCTCAGGGATGGTAATTCTTAGGTTTAGGAGCCACTCAGAGTCATTCTTTTAACCCCAAATCTGTTTTAGTGCACAAGAAATGCTAAAGATAATTAAATAAAGATATCTGGCAAGGGATACACCCAATTTATCTGTGGCAGCAGAAGGGCCCTGGAATTGTAAATCCATAACAGAGAGTTGTGTATTAAAAAAAATACAAATTATTGTTCCTAACATTTCTTACTTTCTTTTTCCCATGGAGCAAAGCCTTTGGATAAAATGCAAATTAGATTATCAGTGGGGCTGTCAAAAATAGCTCAGGGTTGACAGCTAAGTGGGCCTGAGTGAATGTGATTTCAGCTGTGATCCCAGGCTGCAGGAAAGCCTGGAAAAATGGAGCCGGGGGCTGTGGGAATGGCTGCTGGTTGTGGAAAACAGCAGCTTGGGATGGGGCTAAAAATGGGATTTTATTTAAGTTTTTATTTCAAAAATGAAATTGAAAAGTGATTTTAACAGTTGTGTCAGTAAAGGGAGAAAGTGAAAGGGATGAAGGTGGACAGAGAAGGAATGGTTGGAATTGGAGCTTCTCTGCTCCTGCTGGGCACAGGAATCATTCCTGCTGGGAATGGGGGGCCAGGTTGGATTTGTGCTTTGGGAATGGGGTCCCTGCACTGGAACAGGAATGTCAGGGACTGTGAACTGCCGAGCCAGGAGGGTTGGAGATGAGGTCCCTGGTTAGGGGCAGTGGTGGGATGTGGCCACCCTTGGAGCAGGGAATGCTGCACATCCACTTGGAGAGGAGAAAATGGTGAAATCATGGAATCCTGGAATGCTTTGGGTTGGAAAACCCTTAAAATCCCACCCAGTGCCACCCCTGCCGTGGCAGGGACAGCTCCCACTGTGCCAGGTGCTCCAGCCTGGCCTTGGGCACTGCCAGGGCTCCAGGGGCAGCCACAGCTGCTCTGGCAATTCCAGCCCAGCCCCTGCCCACCCTGCCAGGGAACAATTCCCAATGCCCAGTATCCCATCTATATCCTATCTATACCCCCTCTCTCTTAGTTTGGATCAATTTCCCTTCTCCTGTCACTCTCCTGAAGACCCTGCAGAGCAGCTGGAATTCCAGAGGTCACAGCCATTCCTTCCCAGTATCCCACCTGACCCTTCCCAGGCAGTGGGAATCCATTTAATCCAAAGCCCCTGTGCTTGCCTTGTGCAGAATCCCACTGGGAATTGGGGAACATGGCCTGCATTCCCCGAACTGTGTGATGCTGATGCCTTGGGAAGGCTGATCTAGAACAGAGACCAGGCTGAGCTAAAGAATGAAGCAGGGATTTATTAAAAGGATAAATTAAAAGGATAATGGGCAGCACAAGAGCCCAGCCAGGGCTGCACCCAAGATGAACCAAAATGGCCCCAAAATGCACGACCGGGCACGGGGTCTCTCCCTTGGATCAGTTCTGCTCCATTTGCACCTTGCAGTTCATTGTCCCATTCCAGCTTTAGCCCAGGCAGTCCCAGCCTGCTTGTTTTTCTCTCTCAGCCCACGGTGTTTGTGCTCTTGGGCCTGAGATTTGGATCATTTGTCCTTGGTCCCCAGCTGGAGCAGGAATTGCTTTGTCTCCCTGCTCATCATCCCATAATGTGAAGCCCAGACCCACACATCAAAGCAGAATCTGAAAAATACAAAATCTAAACCTGAGGCATCAGTGCCAGCCAAGACCTCTGGGGTCTGGGGGAGTTGGTTTGACCCAGGGGATGGGTGTGACCCCAGTCAGGTTCCTAAATCCTGAGAGGGGCAGGACACAGGGAAGAGCTGGGGCTGTGCTGTTCATGGAACGTTGAATTGGAGTTTGGAGCTTCACTGTGGGACCAGGACACAGGGAAGGGTTGGAGGACATCTGTTCATGGGATGTTAAATTGGAATTTGGAGCAGGACACAGGGAAGGGTTGGAGCTGTGCTGTTCATGGGACATTGAATTGGAATTTGGAGCTTCCATTTTGGAGCAGGACATGGGGAAGAGCTGGGGCTGTGCTTTTCATGGAATGTTATGTTGGAGTTTGGAACTTCAGTGTGGGACCAGGAGACAGGGAGGGCTTGGAGGAGAGCTGTTCATGGAATGTTGAATTGGAATTTGGAGTTTCCATGTGGGAGCAGGACACAGGGAAGAGCTGGAGCTGTGCTGTCCATAGAATTGGAGCTGCAGTCCAGGGGCAGGAGATGGAGAAGAGCTGGAGCTCTGCTTTTCATGGAATGTTATGTTGGAGTTTGGAGCTTCACTGTGGAGCAGGACACGGGGAAGGCTTGGAGGAGTGCTGGTCATGGAATATTAAATTGGAATTTGGAGTTTTCGTGTGGGTCCAGGACACGGGGAAAAGCTGGGGCTCTCATTTCATGGATTTGGAGCTGCAATCCAGGGGCAGAACACGGAAGAGCTGTGGCTGTGCTGTTCATGGAATGTTAAATTGGAATTTGGAGTTTCTGTGTGGGAGCAGGACACAGGGAAGAGCTGGGGCTTTCCTTTTCGTGGAATTGGAGCCTCAATCCAGGGGCAGGACACAGGGAAGCATATTCCATGTGCTGTTCATGGAATGTTGAATTGGAATTTAGAGCTTCCATGTGGGAGCAGAACACTGGGAAGGGCTGGAGCTGTTCAGGAGGGCTGGGATGGAGAGCAGAGCAAGGGACCTTTTTAATGGTTCATTTCTCTTTTCTTAAATCCCATTTTTTTGCTGTTTTCCCCAGATCCGGCCCCACATCGCCACGCTGCGCAAGTACACCTACGGCAAGCACATCCTGGCCAAGCTGGAGAAATACTACATGAAAAATGGGGTGGATTTGGGGCCCATCTGTGGCCCCCCCAACGGCATCATCTGAGCAGGGGCTGCTCCAGAGGCACTCCAGGATCCCAGGAATCCAGCCCAGAACCCACCCACACCACCCGCCACGGTTGCTAAAAAAACACAAACAAACAAAACCCACAAAAAAAAAAAAAAAACCAAAAAAAAAACAAGCAAAGAAAAGCAGAAAAAAAAAAAACACAAAAAAAAAAAAGAGAAGCCTTTGTAAATTTCTTTAATTTTATTATGCATAACATGTACTAATTATTTTTTTTAATTAACTAATTGCCCTGCTGTTTTACTGGTGTATAGAATTCTTGTACATAGGTCTCAGATGTACATGGAAGGCCACATTTTTGTTCACTGTTGTATCTATATTCCAAATGTGGAGACTTTCAGGGTGGTTGGTTCAAAGACAACAAACAAAACAGGAAAAAAACCCCTGTTTTTAATTCATCCTTTTTTGCAAATACCTTTTTTTGGGGTTTTTTTTCCTCCTTTTAGCCCAAAAATCAGCAAGAAGTTGGAATTTTAATTCAGTGACACCACTGGTAGAAATACTAAAAAGAGAAAAATTCAACTTGCTAAAGTTTGGTTTTAAACAAAGACACCAAAATTCCGCTTTTGGGACTTTTTAATGGCTTTATTTCTATTTTATTTGTGACTGACATGCTGAAGGAGGGAGCTTAGCTGGCGTTTTGAGAAAACACCCAGAGATGATCTGAAAGTGGAGGATTTTTGGGGTTTTTTATGCCCACTCCTCTGTTCACCTGGAGAGACACAATTTGATTATTTAGCATGAGGAAAAACAAAAAAATCCAACTCGGCTTTGGTCTTGCTTCTATAAATATATAGTGTATACTTGGTGTAGACTTTACATATATAAAAATTTGTAGTATTTTCTTGTTTTGATGTCTGATCTGTATCTATAATGTACCCTAGTAGTGGAACATACTTCTGACTGTACAATTGTACATTTGTAAACCTCTGTAATGTAAATGTGGAGAAGTTTGAATCGACATAAAACCCGTTTTTTGGTAAGAAAACAGGAAAAAAAAAAGAATTTAGCAAAACCTGTGCATTTCAGTGTATATTCACACCTTTTATGGTCGTAGCATATAGTGTTGTATATTGTAAATTGTAATTTCAACCAGAAGTAAATTTTTTCTTTTGAAGGAAATGTTCTCTTTATACAGCCTAGTTAATGTTTAAAAACAAAAAAGGAAGAAAAATAAACTGCTTGGTTTTATTTGTCACCTAGTTGGACGGTAGAGATCCTTTCTAAATGTTCTACAGACCTGATTCAGTTCCAAATAGTGTTTTTTTGAATCTTACAAAGTAATGTTTTGCTTCTTTTGTGACAGTAAGAAACAAAAAGTGCAAAAGTACAGCCCCCTCCTAGTTTTCCTTACAATCAGAGCCCCTTTTCACCTTGTAAAGTGTGAATCACCTCCCCCTTTTTTGTACAGAAGATGAACTGTATTTTGCATTTTGTCTACTTGTAAGTGAATGTAACATACTGTCAATTTTCCTCGTTTGAATATAGAATTGTAACACTACACGGTGTACATTTACAGAGCCTTGTGTATATTTCCAATGAACTTTTTTGCAAGCACACTTGTAACCATATGTGTATAATTAACAAACCTGTGTATGCTTCTGCCTGGGCGACTATTTTTTGTAACTCTTGTGTAGATTGTCTCTAAACAACGTGTGATCTTTATTTTGAAAAATACAGAACTTTGGAATCTGGCTCGGGGTTTCATGGAATTGTTTGTTGGAAGTTTGGAGCTTCAATCCGGGGGACAAGGGGAAGAGCTGAAGCTCTGCTTGTTACAGAGTGTTAAATTGGAATTTGGAGCAGGAGCAGGACACAAGGAAGAGCTGGGGCTGTGCTGTTGATGGAATTGGAGCTGCAATCCAGGGCCCGGACACAGGGAAGAGCTGGGGCTGTGCTTTTCATGGAATTTGAGCCTAAATCCAGGGGCAGGAGACAGGGAAGAGCTGGGGCTGTATTTTTTGTGGAATTGGAGTCTCAGTTCAGGGCCAGGACACAGGGAAGAGCTGGGGCTGTGCTGTTGATGGAATTCGAGCTGCAATCCAGGGCCAGGACACAGGGAAGAGCTGGAGCTGTGCTTTTCATGGAGTGTTATTTTGAGTTTGGAGGTTTGCTGCAGGACCAGGACACAGGGAATGCTTGGAGGAGAGCTGTTCATGGAATGTTGAATTTAAGTTTGGAGCTTTACTGTCAGACCAGGACGTGCAGAAGAGCTGGGGCTCTGCTTTTCATGGAATGTTGAATTGGAATTTGGAGCTTCAGTGTGGGTCCAGGACGTGGGGAAGAGCTGGGGGTCTGTTTTTCATGGAATGTTGGAGTTTGGAGCTTCACTCCGAGGGCAGGAGCAGGACACAGTGAAGGCTTGGAGCTGTGCTGTTCATGGAATGTTGAATTTGAGTTTGGAGCTTCCCTGTGGGACCAGGACACAGGGAAGAGTTGGGGCTGTGCTGGAGGGCTGGGACAGAGCAGAGGAAGGAGCATTTTTAATGTCATTTAAAAGTCATTTTTAATGGATTTATTTCTGTCTGCAAGTCTGGTGTGCTGAAGGAGGGAGCTGAGCTGGTGTTTTTGGGGAGGAAACATCCAGAGATGATTTTAGAGTGCAGGACTGGGAGCCCATCCTGAGCAGGCTCCATGGGCACAGGGATGGGGGATTATCCTGAGACCCAACCTGCAGAGCTGCCCCAGCCCTGGAGCCCCCAAAATCAAGGATTTGGAGCTGCTGGAGAGAGCCCAGAGGAGCCCCCGGAGCTGTTGCAGGGCTGGAGCCCCTCTGGAGCCAGGCTGGGAGAGCAGGCGGTGCTGCCCTGGAGAGGAGAAGGCTCCAGGGAGAGCTCAGAGCCCTTGCAGGGCCTGAAGGGGCTCCAGGAGAGCTGCAGAGGGACTGGGGACAAGGATGGAGGGACAGGAGGCAGGGAATGGCTGCCAGTGCCAGAGGGCAGGGCTGGATGGGATCTTGGGCAGGAATTCTTTCCCTGGTGCTTCTCCAGGCTGCTCCACGGAGTTGATGGCTCTACCCACACTCACCCCTGCTGCCCCCATGATGTCCTTGTCTCCCTTATTCCCCTAATTCCTTATTTAGGAAGATCCAGCTCCCCGTTTCTTTCCCTGTGTGAACAGAACCCCAAAATCAGCCTCTCCTTCCCACCAGCTCCCTGCATTTGCAGCATCCAGGACCTTCCCTATCCCTTTGCTGCCCTTTGCTGCATTTAAAATCCCTTTTCCAGAGGGACATTTGGGGAATGCTGACAAATCTGGGAACTTGTGGAGGCAGGGTCACATGTGGCCAAGTGATAGAGGGCAAGAAAACACCCATTTTACAGGAAGTTACTTATTTTGGCTTAGCACGTGGAAAGGCTGGGTTTGAAGCCCAGACTCTTCCCATGTCCCATTCCCACCTCTCAGCAGGGCCAGCACTCCTGAGACCCCACACTGAGATTGATCTGGGACCCCACTCTGGAGATGATCTGGGATCACATACTGGGATTGATCTGTTCCTGTTCTGGGATTGATATGGGATCCTGTGCTGCAATTGATCTTTTCCCACACTGGAATTGATCTGGGACTCTCACTGGGGCTGATCTGTTCCCACACTGGGATCGATCTGTTGCCACACTGGGATTGATCTGGGAACCCCACACTGGGATTGTCTGTTCCCACACCAGGACTGATCAAGGATCCTACACTGGGACTGACCGTTTCCCACCCCCTTGGTGTTAAATTCAGCAGATGTGGGTTTTCACTCAGTTTCTGCCCAGTGTTTGAGGCCCTCCTGTGCCCCAGCATGGCCACCAGGGCCACGGGCACTCGAACTTCGGGGTTTTAGAGCTCTTTGGGTGTCTCTGAGCTCTTCATCACCGCATTTACCTGGTAGTGCCTGTGGACCTCAGTCAGCCACAGGTTTGGAGACAAACACAGTGAAAACGAGGGAGATAAATCTAGTTTTTTAATGTTTAATTCAGCACTGAGCGTTCCATTCCGGCTGCAGAGGAAGGGAATGTGCCCAGGCTGTGTGTTTGTTCCCCAAACTCCTGCGGGTGCCAGGGCTGGCCCCGTTCCCACCCCAAGGAATTCGGGAATGGGATCGGAGCTGCTGGCCCTGCCGGGGGGCAGGGGGGACACGGTCGGGAAGGTCACGGTGGCTCTGTGCTGGGGGACAGAGGGGACATGGCCTGGGAAGGACACGGGGGCTCCGTGCTGGCCCTGCCTCAGTCCCTCCTGAGCACGGCTGGTGATTGCGGCTGGACAAGGGATGTGAAGGGACCCGTCCCCTCAGCCAGACCTGTCACCCCAACCGGGACCTGTCCCCTCAGACGGGACCTTTTCCCTCAGCCAGACCTGTCCCCTCAGCTGGACCTGTCTCCTCAGCCGGATCTGTCCCCTCAGCCGGGATCCCCTGTGCCACCCCCTTTCCCATCGCACTGCCCAGACCCGAAGGGACATGAAGGGACAGGAGCTCCCGCTGTCGCCGCGGCCGCGGGGGGACAAGGCCCCGCTGGCAGCGCCCCCCGCCCGCCCCCAGCTCCTCCTGTGGGGTCCCACAAAGCCCCGCCACCCTTCAGGGGCCACCCCTGGGGTTCCACCTCTCGCTGGGGACCCGCGGGGACCCTGCGGGCCTGGCCCAGTCCCTGCAGGGGTGGCGGCGGCCACGGCGGGGCGGTGCAGGCCCAGCAACGGGCCCGGGCCGGGCGGGGCCTGAGCCCATGTGGGGATGGCGGAGCCCGTGTGGGGACAGCGGAGCCCGTGTGGGGACAGCGGACACCGTGTGGGGACACCCCCGGCAACAGACCCTGTGTGGGGACAGCGGAGCCCGTGTGGGGACAACGGCCCTGCCTGGGGAAACCGCCCCGCCTGAGGACATCCCGGCACCGGGACCCTCTGTGTGGGGACACCTCCCTGCCTGGGGACCCTGTGTGGGGACAGCGGCCCTGCCTGGGGACACCCCGGCACCGGGACCCACTGTGTGGGGACAGCAGCCCTGTGTGGGGACATCCCCGGCACCAGGACCCCCGTCCCTGGGA